GCAAAATAAACCACTCCAATTGTACATCATGCATACAAACAAAAAAATGGAAATGAAAAAATGAAAAAATGAAAACAATGGAGATTACATCACTGAAGTAATCATCTGCAATATTGCATTAGATGGTGCCTTCGTGCCCACAATATGTGATGTAGATGACTTAGTCATTACTACAGGATCACGAGGTGTTGTATGAATCATGGATAAAGTATTGGTCAACTTAAACAACAATAATGATTGGAAAATTTTAGCTTGCCTCCCACTCTCATCCTTGTGGGATTCAACTCACAACCGTATCACGTGACTTAGAAGTATGAGTTACATCTCTTGTCACTGCAATCTGTGCCACACTTGGTACCCCAACCTGTGCCACACTTACCAAATAGTAAAATCGGAAAATTCACCTTATGCATAAGTGCTGGAAGCTTTTGCTCTAGGACCAACCATATTAATAAGCTTTTGCTCCAACTACTCCATCTAAGTAACCATATGGATCTCAGTGATAGGAGAAGGAACCACAACGCGTCGTCTAATGACACCGACACATCTACCATCTTGACCATCTCGGACTCGTGGAACACCACCGCCACGACCTCTATCACCGGACATCAGCTTTGGATGAAGGTCCAAACAATGCTCTCGAGTATGATTTTCTTGGCCATAGTTGTCACAACCTGTGCCGACTGAAGTCTAGCCCGTGAACTCCGTACCCTTCCCTCTTGGGACAATCTTTTTGTAGATGATCACCTCCACGAATCCAACATGCTCCTAATTAGAGATTGAAGGCAATGGTGTTTGTGCACCTATTTTTCTAAAACCTGATTGATGTTGTGTCTGAACTCTACGACTTCCACTATTATCATCATCAATGAAACAAGATTGTGTGGTGTTCTGCTAAACACAAAAAGTAGTGATCGTGTCACTATTAAACAAAGATGTCATCATACTCTTCTCCACTTTGTTAAACTCAATCTTCTAAGAGAGAACAAACACAATCTCAATGTGGGTGACCCATTGCTCATGAATGTAGCATCATATACTCTACTTTGCATATAACGTGAAAATTCTGGGTACCCGAACATACACTATTCAGCAGCAAATACTAGCAGTTGATAGTGATATTGAGTTCATAGTGAAGAGACGTGTTTCATCAAAGTGCTTGTCATCAAATAAGTTATAGCACGAGCTCGACTACAGTGCTTTGAAGGGTGAGATTATACATCGGAGTGGAGAACCAAATTGAATCGTTCATGTCGAGCTTGAACACAAAGATTTACGTTGTTAATAGTTCATGGCTTCACCTTTTGTAGGTACCGAGATGAGTGAATTTTTGTACGCGTTAATCTGAGAGACGCTCAGTTCTTTTTTTGTTTGATACTATTGCGTAAGAACGTAATTAATTTCCTTGTGGGAAATATTTTATGTGTCTTCAAAAACTAGATCAAGTAAGTGCTTGTTACATGTAAATGGATTTTGCTTGTTTGATTCTAATGTTGAATGTGTTCTAACTTGTCTTTTTTCGTTCAATGTGGTTGTGGAAAACATATTGTTTTAGAAGTATGTTGTCATACTATTTGAGATTATTTGTTCGGATTCACCGTGAATCATTTACACATATTACTAATGCTCGTAGATTGCAGCAATTGAAGAAAATTTTAACCTAACTCGTAATTTTTTTCTCTTTTGCTTATATGTTCTCATAAAATCAATCCTTTAAGCTAGATGAAATAGCTCGACGTTCGGTATGGATGAACACAAAGACAAAAAAGTACACCGAGTACGCATCTGTTGTTATTTGCAATGTAGTAGAACCTCCACATTTTATAAAACATATACTCCGTCATATATTATGTGTCTTCACAAAACTACATCAAGTCAATGCTTGTGGCATGTAATTGTATTTTGCTTATTTTTTGAATGTTGAATATGTTCTAACTTGTCTAGTGGCATTTGCCTATTCTTATTCTATTGATGCAGATACTTTCAAGTTGAAAAGTAGGGTGACCAACCTCGTTCTCGTTGCGGATTCAAAATCATACGGGTTCCCAAGTACACATGAAGAGTTTATTGTTCTCTCTAGTCGAACGTCGACAACATCCACTGGTTGTAAATGAAAGTCAAAATCCTCTGCAAGTTGGGTTTAGAATCATTTCAAATTGTTGAAAGATTTCAATAAATTTCATATCATCTGCCTCGGGTCCATAGGTTTTTCGTAGTTGATGCACTACATCATTTTTGGCTAAAACCGTAACAAGCACGTTGTTTCGTCATCTACTCGTAAAACATAATATGTCAAAAAGTCAAAAATTAATTGAACCTCTGCAAATTTTTTGTTGGTGTAAATGATGAAGTGCATGATCTGTATGAATTGGATAACAAGTTCAAAGAAGCCAATTTAAATGCCTTGGTTGCATTTGTGTTGGATCACCAGCAAGCGTTCAATTGTGTCGAGAACGAGACGATTTGATCATTGTGCCGACGTTTCAATCCCTAATAGTCATTACCATCGAAGCAAACTCTAACACGCTCATTATCTGATTATTTTGAACAAGCAATGCTGCAATTTCATTCAATTATAAATTCTATCAAGGGAACGATTGCTCTCACTTTGGATTGTTGATTGTTTCGCGTGATGTGTGGTTCTATGATGATTGATAGTTTATTGGATTGATGAAGAGTGAAAAATTCAATACGTTATGATGGAATTTTGCTATTTTCCACCTCCACACCATCAACACACTAAGTAAGACTTGATTCTTTCAATGTTGAAAGATTTTAACATGTGGTCCAAGATTAAGATTGTAACATCTGAAAACGGCGGAAAAATGCCACTGGCCCTGGCCATTGTATGAAGGAATCTAAATGATTAATACTCTCTTTTTTTGGAGGATGATTTTCATATTTGATGCATTTGTCACGTCTTCAATCGTGTTGTATGTGATGCTACACAGTTCATCAAAAAAGAAGTGCAAATGCTCCGTCACTTCGTAAATCCATTTCTATTCGCATCAAGTTTTCAAAATTAGTTGTTGTGCTAGACATTTCTAAGGGTCGTGTTGAAGCTCCAAGTCTAGATACGAAAACGCGCTGGAATTCCATGTTCATCGTGATCTACCAGTCGTTTCATTATTGTGATGAATTTTCAGCGCTTTGTAACTCCAAAAAATTTTGTGATTGATTGACCAATATGGCTTTGTTCGACATGGATTGGCTTGTTGTCAAATCATGCAGAAATTTTTTGCAATATGCGTACCATTGAACTGTTGCCGCTATCGAACGTGGTTACTTTTCACTTTCTCTCCGACCTCTGATCTACAAGCATCTCATAACATTGTGTGGAAAAGCTTGTTCTGGATAATTAGACACTGAATTTATCACTCTAATAGTCAAACAAGTTACTATTGCCGTCGAACTCAAGTAGTTTAAATATAGTGCGAATTTGAATTGTCAAAGTCTTCAAAATCGCTTTGCTTCTTGATCCTAGATCCAGTAATGCGCACTCTGAAACGATGAAACTCAAAGATATGATTCGATTTATTTTGACGATGGATAACAACTTGTGTTCGGAGTAGCAACAATTTCCAACTTTTGATGTATTTGATCTATTTTCTAGAGAGGGTGACAATCCCATTAAAAACTTTGCACACACTGACGAGGTCGATGACTTCTTCATGCTCACAGAGAAAGCGGATCGTCTCACGTCTAACATACTACTTAATGAGAACAGCACTGCAATCGTTTTTTGACCTTATCCATGTTGGCCAAGGACATGTTGATGATTGAAAGTTCTTTTGTGACATCTGAATCGATGTTTTCGAAGAGTGGTGGGTTTGTTCGTCCGAATAGATCTAAAGTATTGAATGAAAACATTGAGATGATGATGAAATTGAAAAGCTGGAACCCCGTATTCCGAGAGTAAGCTACTCAAAATTTATAAAATTTGAACTCCATCACTCAATGTTTTTCCAAAAATTTTAGTTTATTCCAAAAACAAACTACTCAAAATTTATAAAATTTAGAGTACATTATTTGCTGTATTTTCCAAAAATTTAGTCTCATTAATTGATACAACTTTTTGTTTGAACCAGTTAATCGAACCATGTGCAAGCTTGGATTGGTTAAACTATAGATTAATTGTTAACCGTACCGTGGCCAAGCCTTGACCGGTTAAAATATTGGTTAACCGTTAATCTATACGGGGTCAAGCATGGACCACTTAAACTATCGGTTAACCGATCCAAATTTTTTCTGAACTGGTTAACTAGACCGTGTCCAAGCCTAATCTTGTTAGAAAACAAAATACTTGAATCACTCAAATCTTTTAGAATTCCAATTATTATTACTCAAAATATAGACATAAAGTTAAACTTAGTTATCACTAAATAAATTTTGTTATAATGAACTAGATTTAATCATCACTAGTTAGCTATTTTAAATACTATTTCACACATACACAAATAGTTATTATAGTTCCTATTAAATCCCATCAAGTAAATAACTATTCATGAGAATAACTTTATGAATGCATGGATGCAATTTGTCTCAATCTCCCAATCTTTGTCTCTTAGATGTTAAACTGTTGTACATTCTAAGTCTACTTATTTTCTTCCCATTTTGAGTCTATCCCATGTTTAGTTAAAGCTTTGTATCTATTTCATAACTCATGTTTGTCTTCTAGCAACTAAATTTTGGAATTTTTTCTTCAGCTCAAGTAAGGTAACACTTTGCATCTGGCATGCTCCTGTAATCCATTGTAACACGGAGGTCTGAATGCATGATATCCAACAACTTTCATGATCTATTGGATGATCTCCTAGGTATTGGTATGTTGTGTAAATTATCCATAACACAAGAAACACAAAATTCTAGTGATTTTGTGGATACGTTCACACCATCCACCGTACTTTCAAAGTTGCCAGCATGGATTTATGCAAAGTGATTGAAACCTCCAAATCTCGGGGCGATTATGATTAGATGATGATGATGATCAGTAGTCTCTGCAAGTAATACCACGATTTTCATCAGATAGAGGAAGCGCCTAGATCTAAGCGGTCGACACATTTATCGGACGGGGAAGCGTCGAAGCCAGTTCGGCAAATTCAAACATGTCAAATTAGCATGTTCCAAATCGCGACCGAATCGCTAGCAGGCGATGCCGAATCGGCCTCGACCGACGATTTGTCCGACCTATGGTTTGAAATTGGCGGATTCTGCAGGAGTTACAGCTCCTCGACCGGAGAAGTGAAGGTGAGCAGGACGCTGCGTGTTGAGCCGATTTTTCAATTTCGATCTGTGGGATTTTCAATGCGTTCGAGGGCGATCTTATGTCGCTTGAGATTGGGTCAGATTTCGCTTGATGTGTCACTCGGTTGAAGTAAATTCTTTTTAGATTGGAAATATCGCCAAGGTTTGATTTTATAGCGCCAATATTTGATGGTTTGTGAGGCTTGCCCTTCTCTAGTCAGTCTGGAGGAGTTCATGATCCTGGAGGGGGCCATTGTGTTCACTAAGCGTCTAAATTTGTGTGCAGGCATCGGGCGCTGTGTGTGAACTTTGCTGCCTTCTTTTGTTCAATTCCGAGGTCTGCCGGGTCGTCAGTGCCCCAGCTGCAATGATACGGGTTTTTTAAGAGTCCGCTTTCGAACAAGCCAGAGGAGGCGAATTTGGAGCCGCGATTGGTAGTAGAATGTTGGCCTCCGTGCTTCCGTGGGAGTGGATACTCGAGAACGTTCTCGACTTGAACGATTTTTCGTTGCCATGCTTGAAGGGTTTGAGTTCCGCCACTTTGCCCTATGTTTCCAGCACTTGTAGGTCGTCAATCTGTCTGTCGGTCGCGACTTTATGGCCCTAGTTTTTGATGTCATATTTGAGTGTAATTCTGGAGATGCTTGACGCATGCTGTTCTGAAAGTTTTTATACGGCCATTAGAGCAGCTTTCGGGTTTTCGTTAAGCAAAAGGTATTTCTGCACACGTACTTCACAGGCGGTTTCAAGGTCCGGCTCAAAATTCTTACAATCCAAATTGGATCGATTGATGGCCCAGAGCTGATCAGCTACATTCCACACATCGAAGACTCGCGGTGCAGCAAGTTGCTTCAGAAGGTGGCTTTGCGTTACTTAGAGGAGATTGTTCTTTCGCGTAACGTGGATCCATGCGCAATCACCCTGATAAAATTCATCGTGAAACCGCACGGTGGATCCAGCCTACGCCGAATTCACAGCCTTAGAGAGTCAGTTGAATATGACTTGATTCTGCGGGTCGAAACTGAGGTACAACAAATGCGACTTGTTTGAAGATGTGCAGCAGTTGATATCTCCCCTGCTTCCTCATTCGAGAAAGTTTCAGTATCAGCTCCACGATTTGGAAACCTTTACATCTTAAAGTACATGAAAAAGAGCTCATGAATTGTTCCCTGCTTTGTTCGTTCCAGGTTGTGCTTACAACTTTGAGGTACCGTGATGAAAGCGGAGGTAGAGATTGGGAAGCATTTCAGGATGCTCTGGAGGAAATTTTTCCCGAATCTTCACTGGAAGCGAGCAAGGCTGGGCGCCGTAAGGAGCTCATTTCCGTGAGTTTGGTGAGACACCTTATGTGCGTTTTGTAAGCACATATAATATTTATCTTCATCGAAGATGAGCAATGAGCTAGAATCATGTATCCGCAAGTGCGAGTCTTTGGCAGTCATATTGTTGTCAGACATACGTAAGTACTAATTATTTGGCTGATATTCGCCGTTTAATTCTTCAGGCCGGTGAGCAGCAAGATGATCTTATTGAAAAAATGCTTCTCAAGTATCCTCTCGAAGACCTTCTGAAAGACCTGTTGCAGTTGATTGAATCCAAGAGGAAATTATTGAAGACCAAGTTTCTCGACCAGGTTAGTCAAGACGTATGTAAGTCTCGTCAATAAATCAAGCTGTGATGTTAATATTGGCCTAGTTTGCACTGATTCCGCATCATTACACCGGGGCGTTGGGGCTCTGGTCTTCAGACTATGAGTGAACTTCACTTAGAGATTACGGTTAAGTGCGGAAATTATTTTTGGTGACGGTAAACTTCCTCGCTGTCCCTCATTAGACGTGGATTTAGCTTCATGATTGTCACGTTCGCTGACATCAACACAACATTTCTACAGCTTGCCAAAGATGTGATCAATGGTTCGTATACTCCTTCAGCTTCTCGCCCCTCTCAGGATGGGTTATCTACCCCAACGAACTTCAAAGAACTATTCATGCTCGATGACTCCCTCAATGAGCATGAAGGTCCAGACTCTCTATATCCAGAAAATGAGGCAGTATTGCCCAGCCGCTCGCATACGATCCTCTCTACACAGAAATTTTACCATCGAAGTCCAGCCGAGAAGTTTGTAAAGGAGCCCTTTGCCGATATCCTGAGTGGTAGGACCACCCCCTCAACGCCTCTCACTGCCAAGGATGGTGAGACGGTTACAAGGAACGAGAAACGAGACCTGCATGTTTGTGAACAGGCCGGAGAGCAAGTCACTCCCGTGGACAGGGTCTTGGTGCATGAGGGACTAAGGTTAGAGATGTCTACGAGTATGGCGGAGGTCGACAAAGTTGCTCGTGGACTCACCAATCAGATCAACGAGCTCGTCGATGATATCGACAAGTTTGCCGTCGATATTCACAGAGTGGCTGTCAACTCGACTGAACAGACGTACTATTCAGGAGAAACAGATCTTGCGCAGGAGGCACAATCAAAAGACCCAAGTTCTTCACCAGCTGAGAAAGGCGAGAAAAGGCCTGCGACTGAAAAGCTGCCCGATGATGATGCTAAAAAGAGGGTGCGTGGTTCAAAAAAGAGGGTGCGTGGTTCTTTGGATACATCTAGAATAGGTGGAGGAAAGGAGAACGAAGAAGGATATTACAGAAAGGCTAGGTTAACCACCGCAGGTAATGAATACACTGCAAGTGCAGAGCGTGAGGATATCCTAACAGCTGACTTGGATTGTCATGCCATCCGCGATGGACCTGAGAACACGAGTGCGACTTCAGTCCACAGGCTTTTTTTGGCTTTCTTGAGGCAATCAAGGCTAGACCAGCTTGTTTGCAAATTCTCTGTACCGGAAGCACCCGTATTCAAAAGTCATTCTTCTGGACTTGACAGCGGGTGCATCATTTGTCGAAGAGGTGGTGTTCTCGTCAAGTGTCACGGGTGCTCTGTCAAAGTTCATGACCGGTGTCTTGACGAGCTACGTATGCGAAATCCTGTTCACGAACGTCACTGGTTTTGTCCATCTTGTGTTGAGCAGCTGACGTTGGGGATTTTGGAATCGGTGAAAGCCGAGGCAGCTACAGCAAGACAGGAGGCTATCGCGTTTGTGCTTGCGACAGGGAAACATCCTGGAGATATTCGTAGTTCATGTGATGGCATCGATGGACGTGCTCAGATGACCAATTCCGCAGTTGCCTTTTCTGTACTACAAGAAGGTGCACACTTAAAGGTCAGTACTAAGGAAGATTTGAAGCAAAACCCGGATCCAGAGTCCAATAACCTGGACTGTGAAGACGATTCAGAGGCAGAAGCAAGAAAGGAATCCGAAGGAATGGTGTCACTCTTAATTGTGCAAGACAGCAATATAGGTTGTCCTAGACCTAAAGATCATTCCCACTCCGTTAAGGAAACAGATTCTCCTCGTAAAGAAATTGAACTTACTGTTAGGCTTGGAACCATCTCAAAGGCTGTTAGTAACCATGAAGATGAGAGACCTGAACCACTGTCCAGCCCTCCTTTACCTACGTCACATTTTAATCCAGATATGAGGGAGCCGTCACCAGTTGCATGTGAGAATGTACTGTCTACAGATGCAACTGAGGAAACGCTTGCAACGAGTACACCTCCTACAGAATGTGTGGAGAAGGATCTTCACGCTAACCCTAGTGGTCGTAACCTGTCTGAGGAAGGACTGAAAGCGCTGTATGATGAGACCAGTGCTGTCAAGCCGAAATTATCCGGCAGTGGAAATCCAAAGTCGTCACAGAAATCACCTATGAACTCGTCGAAACCAGGAGTGGACGAAGGAGACGGACATGACGGGGACCTTGAGGAGGATATTCATAGACACCAAGACGGTGGGGAATGCAGCAAAGAAAACCAACCCAGTGACTTTCCAACCCCGGTTGATGAGCGAACTCCACCGAGGAAAGGTCGCTACAGGTCAGTGCTTCGACACGCCTACTCATGAATATGATCACCTCAAAATGAAGGAAGTCATGTATATTGTAAGGGTTTTTCTTTTCAAATTACCTTGAAAACAGCAGTGAACGAATGTCGATTTGGTCTTAAGAGACATATGGGGAAGCCATCATAGAAAGATTTCCTTTCATATGTAAAGTCAGTAACATTGTTTAGATGAGGTTACCGCCTGTAAGGCGAAAAGTATGTTTATCAAATCTAAGGGGTCTTTTGTGTCTGCAAATCTGGTAGTTGGTTCTGATCAACTGCAGATTCACTGTCCGGCTTTGAGTTTAGACGATGATCTGGTCTGGGATGTTTCATGATATGCTGTGTTAAGTAGATTAGGGACTTGTAGCATAGACTTAACAAGCCGTACCTCTGCTTTATGAATTGGAGCAATTTTTTATGGAGTGTATGTAGTTGTCTTTGACTTATCAAACCGGCCCAGATAGGTAGGACGCTCCTTGTTTCTGCACTCAAGGAGGATGTTTGTCCACGAACTCAAGCAATGTTACCGAATTATCTTGTGCAGGGGAAGGTGGAAGATACCTGGAGTCCGGCGCAGAAATCTACCTTGGTCTGAATCTGAGATATTCGTCTTGAAGGTTAGTCGTGTTTTCCACCAGCCTTGGAATTTTGAGTTGCTGTACTGAAGAATGGTAGTGTTACACTTGAATCAGTAAATGCTGCAACTGATTTAATACTGTGTGTGATGAATGCAGGAGGGCGTACAGAAATTTTCCAATGACGGTCGGGGGTTTCAGTGGAAAAATATTCTAGAGTTTGGTTATGGCAAGTTCGACCCAAGTCGCACAACCGTAGACCTCAAAGATAAATGGCGCAACTTGAGCAAGTATCGTGATACAAGTCCCAGCTCTTAGGCGTCCTCTGATGTGATATACCTCGAAAAATGTCAGTATATGTTCAAAAGTTCGTCTTTCCTCTGCTACAAGGTAAGCGTTTCTGTGTTGTCAAAATATGAATAGTTTATGGCTTTGTTATACTAGATGGAGAGTAAGACACAGACATGTTGTTTTTCTCAGCATATTCGATGTATATTTTCATGTGATGTTTATATCCGTCGTTGCAGCTTATGGATTGTCAATGCTTTAGATATGATACGTAGATGGTGGGTGTGTTCAGAGATTCAAAGGTACCTGCTGTATGCAAGAGGTGGTGGAGGTTTCTGTGGTCTTGCTGGCTCGGCTATAATGGCTTCCAACAATCTAGTTGTGTACCAAAACTTTCAGAACTTCACACGGATTGGGACTTCCTTTCCGCTGGGATTCGACTTCGAAGTTGGTTGTGTAATTTGTTTGTAGACCACTTAGCCAGAGGCCGAACATACTCATGTATATTCCTTTAGTGATCTACGGCCACCCACAAGAACCTGATGTTCTTTCTTGCGCTTTTGAAGGAAGCCACAGACCTCCTCAAAAGTTTTCAAGTGGGTATTAGTCAAACATTAAGCTTATGCTTGATCGTTAGGAGCTTTATGTACAATATTATTGCAATTCTTAGCACACCAGTCGCTGTGCAGAGAGCTCGGATGATTGCTGCTCTAAAATGCATTTAGTCCGTCACCTCACGATGGAAACCTTCATTTCTCCTTGTAATTTTCCATGGTGATTTTGGATTTTGTCCTTCAATGATGATAATTGGAATTATTGTAGAATCATTTATTTTCACAGTTCTTTAAACAAACATTCGGAGACAAAGATCATATTACCTGACAGAGATTCTGTCCAAGTGCTCTACCATACTGCTTATATTCCTTTGGGTTACTCGGTTTACCATGTGGCATGTGATGACATACCTAGCATCTAATTCAAGTAATCTCTGGAAATGTATCACCACTTTGATATTTCTTCAATCACCTTCGGAAATTTATAACCGCGGATCTGCTCATGAACCACCACAGTGCAGTTTGCTATAGTCCTTCACCATGATAGTTTTGATACCCAATTCGGACACAAATAGGTATGATTCCAGCTATGAATTACACACAAATTTCCTCTCCCACTACGAACAATACATTCTGGTACAAGTGGTTTTGGTTGTCCCCTTCCGTACTGTGCGTCCAACATAGTGCGTCGAACGAGTTTAATTCAAGACAACTTCGCGGCGAAATGACATCCGACCTTGGAACGTCCAGATGGTTTGTGTCAACAGGCAACTCACTGTCAGTGGACAATGAGTTGCCTAAAGTGGTGGGAACTTTGTCCCACAGCGACGGTTGATAGACGTCTTAGCTAGGGGGCAAAGCTATGGAGGTCGAGGCACATATGCTGGGTAAGCTAACCAACACGTCTGTCGAGATATCATGCTGTTAGGAATGAGGAGAAGACGATGGGGCCCTCAAGTAGGTTAGCAAGAGCTTGCAGGATTAGTTCAACTTTCGTGAAGATGCTGGCCTTTGTGGGTGAGGTCTGGAGAAGGCAACTCCATGGATCTGAAGGATACTGCTACAGTATCACTTAGTAGAGTTGATAACCTCATGTTGTTCCCCAGTGTTGCGAGGTGTTATGTAGTTACTGTGTGTAGCAAGACCACGGCCCTCGAAACCAATCATTCACCCTTTCACGTGTCGGGTGCAGTGGCCACATTCTTTATTGTGTATTTGATCAGATTCACTCCCATCCAGCTTTTGATCTTTGCAGATCATGCCCGCCTCCGATTCCCATGTTTCGCTCGCTGACTCGACGCTGCTGAATCTTCTCGTCGTACAATTTCGATCTGGTTCTCGTCCCTTTTCCTTTCCTCCTTTCTGGCGTGTCTCTTTCGAAAGTCCCGTGTCCACTTGTGGGTCTCCAGCGAGTTGTAAGTAGCTCACGGTTTGTCTCCACCGGTGAAGCTCTCAGTCGGTATTTATAGCCAAGAGATCTTCTGAGTCCTAACCTGAAACGAAGTACTGCTGCTCAAGAGTTGGCTTGCTGTGCACGAACAAGCAAGCACTCGAGCTCTGGGCTCAGGAGTCTTTGGCGGATTTCCACCCAAGAAGGTCTTTTTGCTTCATTTCCTGGTTGCCCTTGCTACACTCCAGAAGTAAAATATGGTGAGTAAAATACCTGTGCTCCACGAGTCAATGGGCATCGGGCAGAGTAGGAGGGAGGAGTCAGACCTTAGCCGAGGCTCCGTTCCCCAGCGAACGAGACGTGCACCAACTTGATTCTGTGGTGAGATTTTCTCTCTTTGTAAGCCGGACAAGTCTCGCCATTAAGACCCGGGATCGTACCCCTGGGGCAAATGTAATGTCGTAGCTCATTCTCAAGTCAATGATGAACCCTTTCGCAAGTCCTACGTCCTGCGCAAGCTGCGTACCCTCTATGCCTCGGCCTCGGCGTTCTTCATTCGGCGCAGTCAGTCAGTCGGTCAGTCATGAGTAAATTCAGAAAGTGAGTTCCGAGAGCTCCACACTCTGCTCTCATTGGCCACATGCTCTCGTCTCCTTTCCAGTCTGAGCTGCCCTGCCGGTGGAATTTCCCCGTTTCCATCCAGCTGGTGTTGTTTTCTTGCTGAGAGCAAAAGCAGTCCGCGAGGATTTATCTCATGTCATGTCTTACACTGCTGCTGGGCATGTCAAGGGTAAGGTGGGGTGCTGTGAAGGTCTGAAAGGTGAGAGGCAGGCTTTGGAGCCGCAGAAGTAAAAGGATGATGCTAAGAGAGCAAATGATTAGGGGGCGGGGCATGTTGTCGAGTTTAACATGTGGGATGAAGGAGAAAGCATGTGCCCTTTCGAGGGCTTAGTGACAAATTGTTCTGGCCATGATAAGAGGTCACATGTGTACACCACGAGGATGAAAGCACGAGTCACCATTCCAGATCAGGCACCAAGGCACTAGGGACCACAGCTCCTGGCGAGAACTGTACTAAATGTTGTAGTTTATTATCCAAAATGAGTCGATGTCAGATCCGAACATGTGCTCGCGCCAACAAGTAACACCAGCATGACTTTCTAGGCCCCCTTCATCCGAGTTCCAACCCTCTCTTTCCCTTCCTTTCCCTTCGGATTGGGTGTTCTGCATTATGAGTTTATTTTCTGAACCTCGCAAAAGCTTCCTGCCGAATCATGACAACAACTAGCTGCAGCGTGACTGGAGTCCTTAGTACAGCTACCGGTGCCCCTTTGTCAACGAGCAACCCAAGCCCCGGTTTCTGCCATCCATACGAACATGGCTGCTTTTTTATTGTTCTCAATGTTCTCAATCCGGACAAGATTACACCCTTTACACCTTCATCCCTGAAAAGACCGTCATCGAGTCTCTGGTGAAAGAGGGGATGGGGAGAAAGCGGGAGAGGGGTACTTTTGTCAACGACTCGTAGGATCCTTATGTTCTTATCTACCTATCCATGTTCATTTGGGTTCCATCTGCTGCCTATGTGGTGATCTCGGGTCACCTTAGATTCTCTTCAGAAACTTCGGACCAAATCATTCTCCAGTATCTGCCGAGGGGAGGAGTCAGTCAGGCCACTAGTAATAAAGAAAGTCCACCGATTGGTCAAGTGGTCAGAGCACATCAATGACCATGAGAGCTGCTCGATATACATTGCAATGCAAGCATCCTCCGTCCAACTACCACCATTTTTCATCTGGACTTAGACGCCCAGTCCAGTTGTTACTTTTGTGGATGACATGACCACTGATTGCTCTTTATCGCACTTGCACTCTCGAAGATCTCGATTGCAGGATACTGCAGTGAATTTATTATGAAAGTTTCTTCGGGATGTGTAGATCGCAGAAGCGGGCCAGAGCATCGACTCGTATCCTTAAGTGGTAAGCGGTACGTTGAAATCTAGTCCTAGATCCACATGAGCATTGACCACTTTGATCAGAAGAAGACATCTCGCCCTCAAAAGCTCCTTGCAACTTATGACTCTCTTTCTGATGTTCACATTTAGCTTCACTTTACCGCTCCCCTTTTTCCAAATGAGCCAAGGGAAGGGTCGAGTGCAGCCTTCAGCTTAAACCCCATATTCTCGATCGTCCATAGCTGTAAATGTTTGCTCTCATGTTGAGACTTGTATCCATCCCCTTCTACCTCGCCGTCAACAATCTCCCTTGCCCGATGTCGAGACCGAAGTGGATAGAATTGCAGTCCGTCTGTCACATGGTTTGCGCACAAATGGAGCGAGAACTGGATATGGAGCAGTTAGAAGCAGCAGCTAGATTCTACTGGGAACGACAACAGATTATGTCGTACAGCCTCAGACGCACTGCATCATGGGCGTCGTGTGCAACTTCTGATGATGTTGGATTTGAAGAATATCCGTGTGAGCGAATGGAAGGAAGCCGTGGCCTTAATGGTACCCGTTAACTGCTCCTGCTCAAAATGGTCCACGCTGCCGAGGAGTACTCTGTACATCTCCTTCTCAAGGCAAGGCGAGGCCAGGGAAAGTCCATGGGCCGAGATTCAAGAAGATGGTTGGCGATCGGCGAGAAGTAAAATGCAGAGGGCCATTTATTGAGGGCGACACAAGTGGGCCGTTCGGGTTTCGAACTCCGTTACCGCCTCGGGAAGGCCGTGCTTTGTAGGGCGAGGTCAGATGTGTCAGGGAGCGCAGGCCGTTTGGAGGTCTCGTGGTCAATTTGAGGATCACAAGGGTTGCAGACCTAGCGAGAAACTATGGACGCTCCCTTGGACATGAACCGGAGGTCAGAGACAGCATCAGCGTGCTGCTGCTTCTATCGCCGCTGCTCTGATGATTTTGATGCGGATTCTCTAAGTGTCATCATCGAATTTTGTCAACTTCCAAAATTGAGAAAAAATCGAGGTTGCCTTTTACCCTTCAGTTAAAAGAGAAGGCGGTGATTCGCGTGGGAAGAGAAAGAGATCGCTCTCTGTTGCAACTACTTCGTACTATCTGTTTGCTGCAGCAGCAGCAGCTGCTCCAAAAGCCTTTCCAGGTAGGAACTCAAGCTATAGACTCATGGAACCATGATACGGTTCCATGCTTCGAACTTGATAGTATCAGGAAGATTGGAACACAGCCTCTCTCTCTCTCTCTAACTTCCGAATTGCAGCATCTTCGGCTCTAGTTCTTTCCATTTGCACTGACCTCACTCCAACAGAATCCTCCCGATCGAAACCTGGCAAAGCCTGCGCAGAAGCTCTAATTCTCGATCGAAGAAAAAATAAAAAGAAACAGAAGAACATCATTGATAGATTTCCCTTCAAATTTCACGCCCTACGCCCCAAGCCGAAACGATCATGCGCCCATCAGGGAGGGCATCATCGGAGCGTCCTCGAAAATCGCACAGTTGGGGCAGCCGCAAAACCTGCAATCAGATTCTGCGCCACTCCGCCTTGCCTCCACTTCTGATCCTAATCCCCATCTGGCCTCGGCTCGATCGGAAAATGCATCATAGCAGCGACCGGTGCCTCGCTCCCCCGGCTCAAATCCCTCGCTCGCCACCTGCCCCCTCGACCTCGGCCTCGGCCCCATCGTCGCATTGACATTTCGCCATAACCCTCCCGGTTCCTCGGTCTCCGACGGGAGCGAGGCTCGAGGCTCGAGGCTCGAACTAACTCCCAACTCCCGACTCCGGTCAAATGAGACAGTTGATCATGCTAGGGCGGGCGGGTAGGGCCCGCCACTGCCCGCCGGTACTCAGGTAAAGAACAAGAACTCCGGATGAGGAGCCTACCTTTGAATACATTCACCCGGGTCACAAAGCAGTCAATTTATTCTGATAAAAAAATCATCGACAAAGGAGAGCGTACCCCTTCGGAAAAAATAATAATCGAAACATAATTATAACATTTGCAACTGCCTTCGAAAATATGTTTCTCAGGTCAAGAAAAAGAACTCTGGATGAGGAGCCTACCTTCAAATACATTCACCGGAGTCTCAAAGCAGTTAATATTATAGTTTATTCTGAAAAAACTAATCATCGACGGAGGAGACCGTACATTCGGAAAAAATAATAATCAAAACATAATAATAACATTTGCAACCGCCTTCGGATTATGTTTTTCACAGGTTTTTTTTTATTAGCTCACTCGCACGATGAGTTCCGGTTGTACCTGACGAGAATTAATACGCTGTTATCCATACAAAATAGAAGTGAAATATATGCGGAGCGAGGTCCATGGTTCGGCATTTGCGTCGGCTCTGCCTTCTAACGCACGGGAGCTCGAATGGTCATGTCGGGTTAGAAGAACCAGAGGTGAGGGAGGGAGGTCCCTGCGATTCTTGGCTTGAACTAACCAGAGGTTAAGGCGATGCGGTTGGAGGGTTAACCGCGGAGGCTTGTTCTCGTCGCGCCACGAACAGACGAACATACCGCTTCGTAGCAGGATGAACGGTACAAGGGTTTCCGAGCCTCCGCGGCCTCTAACGGCCACAAATGGAGGCGGGGCAGCAAGTCAGCCGGTGGGAACCCGACGGTTTTCACCGCCCCCCGCAAATCTATCGGCGGCGCCAGATGCACATTGACTCGAGCAGAGGTCACGCGATTCGCGTTCGCTCTCAGTCCCGCGACGTGGCGCCCCCCCACTGGCTCACATCGTTTGGCGCCGATTTTGGTTCCGGCGCCCCGGACCGGCAGTAGCCCGTCGCCGCCCCGGCCGACCCCAGCACCAGCGCGCAGACCATACCAGACCCGACCCCGCTGCCCGCTACACGCCCGCTGCTCGCTGCCGGACAAGATCCAGGGCGGTCGAAAAAGACCGCCCCGGATCCGTTGTTGTTGTCGTCATCGTCGTTACTGGGTCGGCGAGTTTCCATCCATCCATCCAGCGCGTCGACTGGGACTTCGCCGCGGGTGAGAGCGCATCCGTCGTCGAGTGCGGTTGGGAGGGTGGGCGGAGGGAGGGGAGGGAGGGACGGAGGGAGGGCAGAGTCGCGCGGTCGAGTCAGCGTCCGTTGTCATCCGTCGGCCGCTACTACTTGTACCGCCGGGGGCTCGGCTCTGCTCTCGCCTCTTAGTCTGCGGAGGAGCGAAGTTGCCAGAGCAACGAGAGTGTTCGTCCGTCTGTCTGTCAGCGAGCAGGAAGCACAAGGAGGAGCAGAAGAAGAAGGAGCAGGAGGAGGAGGAGGATTTGCTGCGGGGTCTGGAGAAGTGGCGGCAGTCTCGGAGTCCTGTCACTCTGGGTTGGCAGCGTGTTCTGAGCCTCTGCGGATTTCGGTCGCTCTTGCGCCTTCTTTTGGTGGTGAGTGCGAGAGCGCGAGCGCGAGCGCCCAGAGCTTTATTTGCATTGTCGGGCCGCGGCACGTTCCTTGGGTCAAGCTTATTTCAGTCGAGAGAGCACGAGGACGTTTGAGGTGCAGGTCGAGCGCGAGAGAGGGAGAGAGGGGGAGGCTGGGCGGGCCTTGTGAGGGTCGAGCGCTGTGCGAGTGCTGCCTGGGGCTGACGGGTTCGCACAATCTATGGAAAGGTGATAGTACTATGATGAGAGGAAGCTTTGCAGAATTTTTCGCTCTCCCCGTTGCAAGCGTTTCTGGTCTCTCTGTATAGGCACCATACATTTGGAATCTTTCGCCCGAGGACTCGCAATCCCTCGCTCTACGGTCTTGTCGAGCGCAATTTTTCTGTCAGCGGAGCAAGATGTCGGAGAAGTTAGTTGAAAAGTCTGGGATTCTCGAAAGAAAAGCGATCATCAAGAATGCTGACATGACGGAAGATATGCAACAGGATGCCATTGAGTGTGCTACTCAGGTTTGACTCGTGCCTTCGACGTAGGAACACTGTCCGATATCTTTGGGAAGTCTGTTGCTGGCTTGATCTAGATTGATGTGACGGTGGTCTTACTACACAGCAGCAAATTTGTTCTTAGACCTCTAGTGCTTCTCCTCGAAAACAGACGATTTTCCTTCCGCATACTCTACTAGTTCTAGACAGAGAAGATTGCAGGATTGGGCTTTGCTGGGCGAAATGCTTGTCGGAGGTTTCGTTGGAACTAAATGCCGCAAAAGATTCCTTCTGTGTCTCCCTCGTCTGTCTTTAGGACCGTTATACTTGAACGATGTATGGCCTGCTCTTTTCGGCAGACTCCTTCTGGCTAGTGCAGGCAATTTGAAGTAGCAGTCATCCTGTCCGTGTGGAACCCAACCTCTGCAACTCCCAGGATCTGTGAAATAGGTCAATCGATATGGTGATCAGTCAGTCTTTTTAGCTCAGCCTTGATGACTTCAATTTCAGTGCATCTATCGTGCGAGCAAATTTCGGAACTAGCGATTATCTTCTACTTGAGGGATTTGATTTGTGAATCCTGTACTGGTGTTCTTGTTGAATTTGGACTGGCGACATGTTTTATCTTCAACATGTCACCCATCCGAAAGATCTTCCTGTGTCGGCTGCTTCCGCGAAGGCCGTGTCTAGCGAATATCTTGTAAATTGTTGTTTTACTTTTGCTAACTTGTATGTGAAGGCTCTTGACAAGTACAATGTGGAGAAGGACATAGCGGCCTACATTAAGAAAGAGTTCGACAAGAAATATAATCCGACATGGCACTGCATCGTGGGTCGCAATTTTGGTAATTTGCGAATCTCTTCTGACTCGAATTTTCAATTTGCAACAATCCGTGCATCCAATTTAGATTTTGGGACGGGAGATTTATTCGACTGACAACGCGGACCACGTACTGGCCGTGGGTATCCGTCAACATCATTCTAAAATCGTCCTGCCCTGTCTCTGAAACGAAACTCTCTGTGGGAATTAAAATTGCGATGACCTTCAGGACAAATAGTTTGCGGTCAGTCAGGACTAGATTCTACTTTTCGTCTACCTGTTTCGTTTGCTTTCCATTGCGTCGGCTTTCAAGGGTGTAAAAGGGAAACTACCTTGCAGCACACTCCGTATAGAAGTTTGTACGGCTGGGCAGGTGAACATCCTGACAACGAGTGTTAGACGCTGGACCATTCGTGGGGGCTTTCATGGTCATGAATTGGCGCCACCCAATCCCGTACTGCACTGGTGACTTTATTCCCGTGACTGTTCGGAATTTCGGCCTCACCTTAATGTTTCGGGGGCTTGGAATAGTGTTTACAGTAATGTGCACTGCTGATAGGGGCCACTGGCCTCAGTGGAAATGACCACCAGCCTAGAATTCAAAATGGAAAATTAGCCCGTGTACGAGCAATAACAAAAGCACTGGTCGTTTGGATCAGTGACACGACGAACGTTTTTAATGTGGGTGACTGTACGAAGACTGACTTCGACGTGGATGTGGCAGGATCATATGTTACGCATGAAACGAAGCACTTCGTGTACTTCTACTTGGGCCAAGTTGCAGTCCTCTTGTTCAAGTCGGGCTAAATGAGGCGGCTTGTCCCGCAGGATCGTCAACTCAGCCGAAGTAAACCTTACTCTTGATCTGTAGGATGGGTCTCTTTAAGTTGGCGAACTTAGGGAGCAGCTGAATTCATCTCAGTCGTCTTACGGGGAGTGTTCCAGTGAATGCCTTTTGACCTGTCTGTTTGGTGGGGGGACTAATCATATAGAGCGTTCTCTAGTTTCGAGCACACTTGCCGATCTTTCTATTTATCAGACATTTTCTGCAGATAGGTCATTGTGCTATGACCGCCACTGATGGAACCAATACGGATCTTTCTTATTGATAGCATGTTCAGGCTGAGTTGCTGAAGGCGATGTAGGAGAAACAGGCAGGGCTACTTCGGTTCATGTCATAAGCATTGTGAAGATGCTATTTAAAAAACTGTCAGTGTACAATAATTCTTTTGATCTGACGTCACTGATTCGGTTTCGGTAATATATTTCAATACACACTATTTGCGAAGCTTTGTAGACGTTATCTAATTGTGATGTTCTTTTAACTACGGATTCATGTGTTCGATGTGAGTGGTCATCATACAGATACATCGTGTTTGCCTCCGTAGTTTCTTATGCGTGTTCAAAAGGTGGTAGGTGAACTCAAGTTTTTATGCGTCTTCCAGTTGTGCAATCGTATAACGTGTACATGTGTTGAACTGTACTGTTGTGCCCGTATTAAACTCATGTCATCTCCACGGAGGCCGCAAGTGTCTGGGATCAGTCAACAACTATCCTATTCATACGCATCACCATGTTTGCAGAATGCTCACGCAATTCAGGAATGGAATCCACTCAGGAACCTCATGTCTTATGTAGCTTGGCTACTCACATGAAAGGGAGCATGTTCATCATGGGAGTATGATTTCCCCCCGGTTCAAGATATAGTGTGCTCTTTAATGCGCAACTCAAAAGTATGAAAATTGTAACTCCTGCGTTCAATATCACCTTATCAAAAGTGAACCTTGATAGCTCTCTTCCCACGAACTTCTCGTGGTCGGTCTACACCTTAATGTTCTGCGGTGTGAAGAGTGCCATCTCCTGATACAAGGGACCTCTTGGTATCTGGTGCTGGAAGGCCAGTGTTAAGTTCATGAGGGTGTGACGTTCGTGAAGTGGATTCCACTTTCTACCACTCAAAAGACACGACGCACAAGTGCACGTGTAAGTCACTGCTGAATATCGCATCGAGCTGAAGTACCGAATCGCATGGAACTTTAACCCATTTCGCCGCACGTCCCAAGCTTTAACACTATGGCCCGGTAGCCAAAACAAATCCCGCTTGGATTAACTCGCCTGGGGATTCGACGGGACTTGTAGCCAATGCAGGAAATCAAGCGGTCTAAAGAATCCAGAGAGGCTGAAGTCACAACCGTGTCTCGCCGCAGTCGGAAACGAGATAATCTTTGACCACACGTTTTGTCTCCAACTGTTGTCTCACAACCCCGCGTTCGACAGGAGGGATGTAACAATTCAAATATAATCCCTGAACGACCATATCCACCCTAACCTCATGTACAATGATATCTCATGGGAGGTCGTTGACCATTGTCTGACTGTCAGCCCCAGGAAAAATACTAGGAACTCACCTTCCTCCGATGGTGCTGATTGAAAGCCCTCAATTAAAGAGTCATTTTCTAACCTAGACTGTTAAGCTCCCCGCGTGCATGCTTGTTCTCATAGAATCGATTTGCAACTGGGCAATCCATGTGCCAAACCATCGGGCTTGCAAACCACCTGAAGATGAAAATTCTTCCATCTTACGTTGCATGCTAGATTGCAGAACCGGCAACCGATGCCACGAACGATCAGATCTCTAGAAGCCCAATATATGGTGAAGACTGCAGAAAGCGGAGAGTTAGACCATCACCAGTAGCCAAGAAGAGGTAGCACGTGAAATGAGAACTGTCAGTCTTGTACAAACTAGCGACACTTTTCCCACCAGACTATAAAGCTGTTGATTTGTCCTCGCACTCTTCGCGTCTCACAGTCCCCATCTGACATGCTGGAAGTTCGGAACACTGACCCTGCGTGCTGCCGAGAGGCAATCCCAACGTCTTTGACCAAACCAGACGTGCGCGATCCACCAGCGTGAGGTTATTTATAGAATCACGTGAATCCTTCTAGACTGCCAAAGTTATTATGCAGACATGCACCGTACTCGAATCTTTAGTACCATGTTGGGAAGGCCATTGCAGTTCATCGACCACACAGTTCGCAAACTTGCAGAAAATGCGACATTTTCCTTTCGCATGTCACTAAAGTGTCCATTATGTCCCACTCCTTCGTTGATACCATTATACGGTTAACCTCTAAAGTGGAGCTTCTTTGGAGTAAGATTGCTTATCAATGACACCAGGTAACGAACTCATCCATTTGATATTTGGCTGCATAAACTTATACATGCAAGTGATAATCATATGAAATCATTTGTGAATTTCATATCTATCCCTTTGACAGGTTGATTGCATAACATGCATCTTAGATGAAGATATTGTAACGTTTACCGGGTCTTGTTAACCATAGTTTAACTCTAGTTAGACTTGGACTCTAGTTAAATTATTTGATATTTAATCCAAACACAAGCTCATCTCTGTTTCATTCTCACATGCACATCACAAATAATGGAGACCTTGGCTATGGAGTACTTATGTATATTTTCCCTTGAGTGAAACTATTTATCTCTATCGGCGAAAGAACCTCATGCGAAAATGAATCACATATATTGGTGTGTGATTATCGTGGACTATTGTATATATGAGTTTGTCTGATTACTTAACACAAGATTCCCATTCCACCAGAATTAATTTTCTAGGCGGTTGATTTGGTCGAATCTGTCAAATTGGAGGTTGGATTGGTCGAATTGGAAATCCAAGATAAATTGAAGTATGAGATCGCAGGTCTTTAATCATACAGGTTGCGAGGTCGCGGGTGGAGAGAAAGAGACAGCGTACTGGCGGTGAGGAGGCTGAAGCGAGGGCGCAAGATTGCGAATGAAAAAACGGGGACGACAGGCGGGCAGTGAGAGAAGGAGGTGAAAGAGCTTCATACCACTCATCAAATCTTCGAAACCTGCAAACTTGTCGAACTTGCAAACCTGCGTGAACTTGCTAACTTATATCATCCACGATTTGACTTTTTGAACTTGAGTTTGGCAAGGAATCCTGCTGCACAAGATATGATCATCAGGTTTTTGAAGATCTACAAAGACATAAAGGCAAGGCTTAGTGAAGTTCAAAAGTGGCAAAAAAGAGATGCAAACAAATCTCTAAAGCAAATTCTAAACATCTCAATAGGACATAAAGTTTGACTTTTGTGTCGCTCTTTGAAAACTTGTTGACCGAGCGACAAACTTAACTATGGTTGTCTTGGACCTTTTCACATGAATAAGCAAGTGAACAAGATAGCATATAGGTTGACGAGCCATCTTCTATAAAAATTCGTCCAGTGTTTCATATACTTTTTACTTCAATTGTATAAGGAATCAACTATTCTAGACTATTGTCAACATCCTTATCACCAATCAAAATTATCAAAAAGGAATAATTTAAAATTTCTAATATTATCAACTCTTGCTTTTATCAAAGTAGATGATAATATTCTGTACATTGGCAGGATTATAAAGTAAGCAAGAAAACTTGTATACTTGCCGCTAATCTTGTTAACGTTTTCAAAATGATCAAAAATTTAATTGTCAATACTCGACAAAACCAAGTGATAAAGATATTTGAATCCAACACGTCTAGATCAACACTAGCATCAAATTATGCTCTAATCATGTAAATCAAGCAACAACAACTTGTGAAAAATTATCGTTTGAAGTGACTATGATATCATGGACGCAGTAATGATGCAATTTTTTCCAACTTGGAGGCGGTGTGAAATTTTTTCAACTTGGAAACAGTCACACTTTTTTCAACTTCAAACACGGTTTAGGCTTTAGAGTTCCAACTTTAGAGTTTCTAGTTGCGTCCTAGTAGTATAAATACAAAGCCTTGAAACACTGTACTTCAATCTTGTCAAAAACAATTACATTTGTTCTTCATGCATCATTACCACATTTATTTTTCTTGCTTCAAATGTTACTACTTCAAGCTATCTCGCTTTGAGTGATACTACTTCCAGTTTTGGAGCTTTCAAATTATGTCATGTCCACAAATATTCTTTTTCATGAATGTAGACAATTGCACCAAAATCTGAAATGAGATTAAACTAGCTGGAGTTATAAAAAAAGCCTCAGTTACCCTCAACACATCAACTACCCATTAGATTCTAAAGATTAGAATCATTAGAATCAAGTAATAGATACAAACATAATCGTCATCAAATTAATCAATTATTTATTTGCAATATTTTTTTGGAAGTTTCATTTGTTTTATCGCAAAAAATTTATTGCCTGATGAGTTTTTTTACATTTTCAACATCGGATTGTTTAATTTTGTGCTATTTTATGCTTGGATTTGAATTTAGATGTTTTGTTATCATGGTTTATTTCCTTTTCAAGCTTTTCATGTTCAGCATTGTGTTTGATGTTTGATAAGGTAACATCCTTTCTTGCTGAAGATTACATGTCATTCTTTCATTTAACACATCATTGTAAATGATTTTATTTAATCAAAATAAACTAACATTTGTAATAAACAGTTATAAAATATTTTTTAAAAAAAACTTTATCTCATCATTTAAATTTTTTATCAAGATTTTTCAATAAAATTATTGCAAGCATGAATAATATCTTCTTTGTTAAAAATCTTGTATTTCGTATTGAAACTCATTAGCTTCAAGTATTTACACAATATCTTTGATAATTTCAAATTGAAATATTTTTTTCAATGCATTAAAAAAATTGATGCAATTTTTGTTTTCATCTAACTAATGACATGACATGATAACATAGATCTAACACCACTATGTTTTCAATTATTGTTTTCGTTTTAATCTAATCAATTCTTTATCTAAGTAATTTTTCAAAATCAGTAATTTTAAGCATATTTTTTACCACAGGCTTCTTTGTGATACCATGAAAAGATCCATTGTATTTGAAAATGATTAAATCTAAAAACACTAATTTTTTTAGTAATAATTTCATATTTTTGATTATTTATTGATTTAAAGATTCTTAAAATAAAATATTATTTTTTGTCAAAATTTATTTATTTTTCATCGTTGATCCTTGATGACTAAAATTATTTACAGAGTGCGCAAAAAGAAAAAAGTAAGTGCATAAATGAATCTTCTTTAGTCATTTTTTCCGGCTTGATTTATGCTTCGTTCATCTCACATCCCAATTTTGTCAAATTTGTGATACAAAATTGGAATCAATTGGAATTAAACAAATCACAGAATATTTCAAAGTCACATGATGTGTTTGACACGTGTGACTTTGAAACTTTCATGAAACATGACTTTCTGCTTGCTGAGTATAATCTGATAATCATGAAAAATGGAACCTCATATGTCCGCAGATAAGAAGGAACAAGTCACAACTTTTATAATTATAAAAGACTAATAAACTTTGCGTTGATTGTCAAACTATCAAGTTATTAGACACGTGGATGATCATCCTCAAAATATTTATCAATATATCTTCACACCGTTGTTGTATAATATCATGGTCACTAGCTGCAACAACTAAAGTGTAGAAGCGCGAATAAGCCAAATTGTCAAATTGCGACTAGTATGGTGAGGATAATCAAAACCAACCTGCTACGACGTGATAGTAAATGAGGTTACAAGCCAAATACAAAGGCTCAAAGTAGTGATACAAAGAGATTTGGATTGAATGAGCAATCCAAATGCTTATAAATCAGTTTGGAAGACGTACAAATGGCATATTTCCTGGAATTTAAAAGGAATTTGGGATAAACAATTCAAGAAAATTATGCATTAAAAAAATGGAAACTTTTGTTTAAAACAATGATCAAATTAGGTGATATGTCATCAAATACTCATATTATTTGAAATGTCTATTATCTTAATGATTGGAATGTGTATGCCATACTTTCCATTATAATACAAGTTGATATAGTTGAGTATTTTCATTATTGGGCTTGATAGAGTATTTCCATGTTTTCCTCTTTCCACTAGTACGACCTCCTATCAAACTTCACTTACTTATTATTCAGATTATACTCAGCTTGCAGAAACTCTATTTCGTGAGCTTTTGGCAAGTGCAAAGGACAAATGGGTCTAAAGAAGCGCTCAAACTTATCTTTATAAGCTACTCCGTGAGATGTCGCAGACACTGGACTGAGATTACGTTAGCCTAGCAACATTGTTACTGGTAGCCCATCGAAATGCCCTCTTCACAGACAGAAATGTAATATGACATGAACCCAAATGTCCCAAATGAGCCGTATTCATTCACGCCTCGTTTCTTATCACCACGTTCTGGTTTCATCGCTCTGAGGAAGGCTCGAGTTCAAGATTTTAGAGCTGGTCGAATCAGCCCATCCAGCAACTCAAAGATGAAGACGAAGGGACTCACTGGACTCCTTAACTTCGACATTCTTCTCTCAGCAGCAGGATCAGGAGGTCCGAAGTGTACAGTACGTCTCGGCTGAGAACTGCACCGAACACTCGATGCGTCGTGTGGGGGAATCATGCAAACACATCCAGAATCAAACAGAAACAAAACTGAAAATAGTGATTTTCCCCATTCCAGCCAATCAAGAGTCACTTCTAGAGTCTCGAAGGCAGTATCTGAGACTAATATTTGAAATTAGGAAAAAGGCGAGCTAATTAAAGGACGAGTGATTGGAGGACGAGGAGGACGGAGGAAGCGGGCCTACCTGCTCAAGAAGCAGCAGCGAACGTCTGCTCGAAGTCGTCGAATGCAGGGCAGGCCAGTGCTGGGCTGTGCATGCGAGGAAGGGAAGGAGTAGAAGAGAAGAGAAGGGAGGGGTTAGGAAGAGGGGAGGGAGGGAGGAGGGTCCATTGAACGGACCGACTTGTTCCGGTTGCTCTCGTGTCTCGAGTCCGCCTGGACACTTATAGTCGAACCAGAGGAGAGGAGGAGGAGGAGAAGCAGCGGACGAAGCAGCATCGGCAGCAGCCACGACTCACAGAGAGAGGATTCACTCACTCACTACTACACAAGTGGGCGGTGGGCGGCTGGAGTTGAGGTAAAGCGTTGGGCCGAGGTGATCGGGCGTTGGATCGGTCGGACGGGGCCGCATGATCTGGTCTCCGTGTCGTTCTGAGTTTCAGAGGTGCACTGCCTGGCTGCCTGCCGCATTGGAACCAAGTCCTTCGGATCTGTGCTGGGGGTGGGTTTTGTGGAGGTCTCCATCTCTCGCTCTCTCTGTGTCTCTGTGTCTGTTCTGCCGAAGGTTTTCGGGTGTGGGGTTTTGGCGAAAGTGTGAGGGCCCCGGGGAATATTTGGAAATCAGCTGCAGCAGGGCAGGGATTGCAGGGCAGTGGATGATCGTAGCTAGGGCACATTAATCATGGCCGCGGAGCCCGTGAAAATTGAGGTTTTGGGTATATCGACGGACATCGTCGGGGATGACGAAAATGGCTTGTCTGTGGTCGACAGCAGTCGAGCGAGCAAATTGGAATTGGTAGCTGAGGATGGCGAGTCCGCCAGGGTAATTTTGAAGGATGTAGAATTCGAAAACTCCGATGACTCCACTGCCTCCGCTGCCGCCCAAGACGGCGTGGGAGTGGCGGATGAAGCTGATGGTGGAGCTGAGCAGAGGGCAGAGGGGGCCAAGTCCGACTCCGATAGTCCTGCTCTAGAAGAGGAGGAGCAAGAAGAGTGTGGGTTTTGTCTGTTCATGAAAGGTGGGCCTTGCGGAGAGCGTTTTTCCATTTGGCAGACTTGTGTAGACGGGGCGGAGAAAAGCGGGGAGGATATTGTGGAAAAATGTGCGCAAACGACCAGTTTGTTGAAGGTATGCATGGAGATGAATCTCGAGTACTACGGCCCTGTTTTGGAAGCGGAGAGAGCCATGGAGGAGGTCGCAGCCCAGGATGAAAATCAAACATCAGATTCCACAGAGAAGCCTGCTGCTACTGGTGGAAGTGACGGGAAGGAGGACGCTCAACCCGAGAGCACGGGGAAAGTAGTAGAAATTGTCGCCGTCACCGCTGTGGATGGCGAGGTCACTGAAGTTGTGGACGTTGTCGCCCAAGCCGCAGATTGAACGCCGAAATTGAGATTGCTACATCAAGCATATGGATCGTTCTCGAAGTCAATCTGGATTCATTTTTGCAGAGAGAGAGAGAGAGAGAGAGAGAGAGAGCCAAAGAGAACGCATCGATGCCATTAGAGTGCATCTGGAGGATATTTACTTCTACAGTGGATCTGCAAACCCTAGGGTTTTGTACGGAGAGGGTTCGCTGTCTGGTACCTTAACAGCTCATTAATCTTCAGTGTCCCGTCAGCTTCAATCCGGGATGGATGGACGTAGCTATCGGATCTTTTGCAGGAGACTGGTGATATACAACGAGTAGACGTCAGATTTCAAAGGGGTATAATCTGTTGTTGAGGCCTTAGAAAGTCATAGGCACTTTGTTGGCAGCATGCAGAGTACCCTGAAATTACTTCATTTAATTTCATATCTGTGCGCAGTTGCTCTATTCGAAGCAACTTGGTTCCAAAGACGTATTCTTCGCCGGACACTGGGTCCCCATCGTGTTCACATGCATGCACCCGAGTTCATCAATGGGGAAGCCTTCAGATACTTGCGACCTTTACTGCGTCCGAATGTTGGCATTCAGGGTTTTAGGTTTTCAGTCTCAAATAAAATTAATACGTGTCGAGGCTGGTGGTGGTTTGGTTGCTCTCTCTTTTACAAATTGTCATATTCGTGTTGATCAACCAGCGTTACGTTGCGGTGCTTCTTATCCCTGATGGAAATCCAGAGAGTTTAGTTTCGATCGGAACTTGGAACATCTAAAAGCTGATGAGTTATAATGTATTGGACCACTTCACCGTACCATGTTTGGTCATGAATGACTTAGATCGATACAAAGAATACAAACGTCACCTAAGTATACAGTTTCGTAACTTTTAACAGAACTTGACAATTGCTGTTTCCTGAATCTTATTGCTTTGGACAGTTTGTTAAAACTATTGGACATGAGAATAGGATGAATGGACCGGGATAAGACCGGAAAACTCATATGCATTTGCAAATGACTAACCCCTCCACTGCCTACAGGCGTCTCGAGACCCAATTCTTTGGCAGAATCTTGTGTGACATTTAATCTTCCTTCACGGGTCACCTTACTGAAAGATGCGTCGGTTCAATTCGTCGCTCCAGTTTTCAAGCAATGGCACCATTACATGCGTGGCAAAAGGCAGTTTCATAAATCCTGGGTTCGACTGACGAGTTGTCGAGTTATGGTTTGGTTATATTGCAACAGTACTGAAACCAGAGCATACTTGCATACAACATTCATTTACAAAGCATTGTCGGCGTGATCTACCAATCAGAATCTATAATCTCGCTGAGTTCAATCACGAACACTCTCGCTAAAGAGTTGCAAGAAACCACATGCTACTGATGTATAGTCGGAGCATTTTACTTGTCTGTAGTGCCTGTCCAGCAAATTCCGCAGAAGAGTGTGTGAATTACCGCTCCAATATCTTGGAGCGGTAAAGGCCACTTTCACCTTGCAGCGAACTTCAAGACGTGATTGTTGCAAGGCAAACTGAAAGAACCATCCGACAAGTTCGCAATAAAACACTCACTAGGCGCTCCTTTGAATGTGAACACTGCACACAGCTCGCCCTCGTGTTTGCCCGAATGCAGCACGTCATTTTGCTTGTCTATTACGTTGATCTCAAAACTCAATTGGGGGCAAATCAAAGCATGAATTCGAAACACCTGAATTCACACTGCTTAATTCATTGTCAGTTACGAATTCGTGTGAAACACAATTCCAAACTGCATACTTGACAGACAGATTGTTGAGTAAGTTGGTGGTATATGCTTGATACACAAAACCAGTTTAGATGAGCAAACTCTAGCAGCACGCTGGATTCACTTCTCGAAGTGGAGCACATCTGCTTTGTGACTAAAATACTCATTTACCTTTCGCGGTTACTACGGTAACTGGCAAAAAGTGGTCTTCTTTTGCGATGCGCCTTCTCCAAAAACCAGCTGACATTCGAGAGTAACGTCAGCATTTTGATTATAGTTGCATTTGTGTAGGTGAATGACACATTTCCATCGACTCCACTCAAATTCCTATAAAAGCTTCCTCTTATTAGGATCACAAGCTTGCTACATGAGGGGTACAGACTATTTCCAGTCATCTTTGCAGAAACGTCGTCAGCAACCTTTACTTTGAACTCACTACTGACAGACATATGCAAAGACATGAAGAGAATCTCGCTAAGATTTCAACAGCATCTCGAGTGGTTTAGGAAAGGTTTAAAGACCGTGAAGCGAAACGTGGTGTTGCAGCGGTGGATGACGCATGAAGTGTTAGAAAAGACATTATCCCCATAACCAGAAGATTCTCAGAACAATTCTTTTACTTCGCAAACATGAGAGCGGTGTGCTACGAGTTACGTAGCAGCCAATGCCAACATCACCTCACTGATGACAACGAAAGAGACGCCTACCTGCCGCGGATGTACGATCACAGAGTAGGCAGTCTTCAGCATTAACTGACGCCAGCTTCTACCAAAATTGAGCAAGACATGATGCCCACGGATGTCTCAAGGACTCAGGTCAGCAGACCGTACTATCGTCGTATGTCCTGACAGATCACTTGCGTGGGCAAGAAATTCCACCGTGACAGTGTACGAGAATGGGCCTCAGTGCAAGTGGAGTCTACCTCAAAAAGACCTGGCCCCTAATTCTAGGACCCCCATCAAATCCTCGGCACTCGAATTGTGGCGTGGGTCACTACATAGCTAGGAATCCTACCTAACGCCGAGTGGGTGTGTGAGTAAAGTTAACCTGACCTTTCATCTCCAAACGGATTGTATTATGACTATCAATTGGCAGCCGAGATCACGTAGGCTGTGGGAAAGCTGAGGTGATCACTGCGCCACCCAAAATAGGTATCGATCACCTGAAGCTGTTGCTGAACAGAGTGAGTTGTTTCGTTGGCCTACATTTCAGTTCAGTTTCCCTTGAGCCTACGAGCCATTCGCTCAAAGCCTTTAGGTCATCGAGCCGATGAAATGATGAGTCGATGGACTTCGATGAAATCGCCGAAGATTGACCAGAGCTTGCTAGTAGTAAACCGTTAGAGCATGATGGTAGTCCGTGGCTTTGATGGATTGGATTCCAGATGACCAAAGCCACCAGTCCACCTGCACGCTCGTCACCTCCTCTCCTGTTCTATTCGAGAGTGCCTCTCGAAGAAGCTCCACGGCCGTGATGGTGCATGCACGGATTTCGACTTCTTCTTCGGATCCCGGAGCAATATTTTCCTGACTGTCCACCTTCTCGGCCAGACATGGAGAGTACTCGAGAATGCCCCAGGCTCGAAGCACGGCCGGGACGACGTAGTCTGCGAACATGGTGATGGAGCTAATGTCCTTGAATTCCCCGATCCCTTGACCCTTGAAGGCGCCCCATAGATCTGCGACGAAAATTTGAGCTCGTTTGTAGATAAACACCTGCTGGCCTTTATAGACAGTGTGATCTCGAAAACCTGGAAAATTGCCGGCCACCAGCTCCACGAGATCGACGGCAGATTTCTTCGCTCGCGCCACGAGATTGGCCGCAGACCCGGCGAAATTCTTGGCCAGCACGGAGCCGACCTCGCGGAGGAGACGAGCGCGTTCTTCCTCCAGAGGCAGCTCGCGAGGCCAATTCAGAAGCTTTCGCAGCATGGGGCCCGTGTAGGATTGCAGGCGGTCGGCGTCGAAGGCCTTGGGGTCGGCCACGAGCGCGTTCCGCAGCCCTCGGGCCAAGTGCTCGTAATGGAGCTCGTCGTCGGGCCAGAAGCAGAAGTTCATCGCATCGAGCACGAGCATGTACTGCGCGGTGAGTGGCCCGCCGTCGTAGAAGTGGATTTTCTCGAAATCCCACTCCACCGAAGGCACGGCGCCCTGCATGTGCTCGGCCACATGCTCTATGGCCTTGGCATTGATGGCGACATAGTTGGCGTGGTCAGCGACCCAGAGACAAGACGCCCGTACTTCCATAATCAATCTGCCCCCGTGAGCTGCAAGGCCACAATGAACAGCGAGCGTCGCCTCGACGCTGCTGCTGACGCCCGCAAATTCAATCTCTAAATCGCTCGCTTACGAAAACCTGGGCCGAGATGGATGCAACCAAATTACTTCTCACCACAACCGACAAGACGTCCGAACAAACACCGCCCCAGTGCCATCCAACCGCCCGTCCCCACCTCGCCTCTCGCCCTCTCGGCTCCGTCCAATCCCCGCCGATTTCCTGACCTCTGGCTCCGGATCTCAGAGCCGATGATGTTCGACAACAAACCGCCCCTGCAGTGCTCAAAAGCGCGAACATTCCCTACTGTTGGCTCTCCCGTCGCCCTCGGCCCCACCCCATCGTCCCTCGTGTCGACGAGCTTTAGATTAGCGCCTCGCAAATCACGATTGGCGCTGCTGCTGCTGCTCCCGACAAGCCCTGGAACCCTAAAGCCCTCCCCTCTCTCCCAGGCTCGAGGCTTCGACAGTTTTAGTTAGGGCTCCGTTACACCCTCCATCCCTCTCCCTTCTGCCGTGGCGCAGAGTTAACTAGGGTTCAGGACGGAGCCGAGCAGCGACGTACGACGGGGCAAAAATTCGTGCACGCCTTCTGTCCAATCGGACGATTCCGCTGCTGGAGTGAGCTACTTTGCGCAAGGGATCTTGGTGCGTCGTGGAGAAGAATTCGGTCACGCATTGAATCGACGAGAGCGCGGGGAGTCGAGTTTAATCGACCTCTTGTTGCCGTCGAGGTTTCGAGAAGCCATGAGCTCGAGAGGTTCGGCGAAGTGACATCGAGAAGGGCCGAATTTCATCTGTCTCGGTGGGCGGGCGGGCGGTGCGGTGCGGTGCGTTCCATGATGTTCATCGGTGGCAGGGTGATGTCGTGGGTACGGGATTTACGGGAAATGAAGACGGTGTTCCAGTCATCGGTCGGAAGCTCGCAACTGAGCAGTCACTGGAGACGTCGAGATTGAGAGCCCTCGATTTCTCGGACTAGAAGACGTCGGGTTGCTTAGCGTAAGCGTAGTCGTCTGGACATTTAGAAGACATGGGGATTCAGGGTGATGAGAAGCGGAAAGGAGAGGGCAGCCGAGGTGGAGGGGGCGCTGCGAAAAGAGGAGGAGGAGGAGGAGGAGGAGGAAGGGGAGCTGCAAAGGGACATCGCCCGAAGAAGAGCGAAACAAATTTCATACCTGCGTACACCGGGGAGCTCGCCCCTCCACCGGTTGCGCGAGATATCATGGCCGTGCCCGCCAAGCTTCGGCGTATCATGAACCTCAGAGCCGTGGTAGCTTCTGGTAATTCCCCACCGTCCATCAAACCACTGGTCTTCCCGTTTCTCCTCACTGTTGCCGAATTTGTCGTTGCGTCAGTCAATTGACTCGGAAATGTTTTTCTCTATGATGAAATGCCAGGTGAGAAATACGATCCGAATGCGTACAAACGGAAATCGAAGCAGGACGAGTCCAAGGTATGAGCCTATCTCCAGATTCACAAACGCCGGTTGTGGTGACGACGTCGGTCTAGAGCTTCAGGAAAATGTCGGAACCCCGTTACCATTTCCTGAGGTGTACTCCCGCACGCCTCGGCATCTGCACAGTCTCTCGCACTCCTTTAGATTTGTAGTTTCTCGTAGTAACAGCAATTTCAACCGCTTCATCGTCCCACCGTTTCCCCACTTCATCGATCCGTAGATGTACAGCGTTCATCGTCCATGGTCGAGCTGGACGAAAAAAGCATGTGCACATAAGCAATCCACTCTCAACTCACCCGTCAAGCTCGGTGTCAAATCGTCGATGGTCGGAGTACGCGATCAGTAATTTCTCGCTGGAAATGAGTAGGACTAACAGTGAGATTACTTGCTGCAGGGCAGGCTTCCAAGAAGAAGGACAAGAAACGAAAGCTGAGCGATGAGAAGACTGGAACCAACGGGGCCCAGAGTAAGGACGAGGACGGTACTCCGGCAGCCAAGAAGTCCAAGCTCTCTCGAGCTGAAGAGGAGTTGAAAAGGCTGAACGCCAAGTTCGATAGGAAGGCACGAGTTAAGCCCAAGAGTACCGGTGAAACTTGGAAGAGGTACTTCTCTCGTTTGCGCACTTATCTGCTCTACATCGTTGCCCACGATGGAGAGAAAATGTATGTTAGCATGAGGCTAACATGGAAGTCCGTTGGATAGATGTGGATTCCTGTCAAGTCACACGAGAACTTCTTTTGCAGCAATGGGGAAAAATCACATCGGCCTGAAAATTTGCAGCCAGTGTGTCCGATCGTCAATTGATTCACCTCTTTTTATGGTTTTGCAGCTACTTGAATGAGAAGAAGAAGAAGAAAAGAGGACCGAAGGCGGCGGAAGAGGGTCTGCTTGCTATGAATGTTCACGAGAAGATTGAGTTTGGAGACGTCGTGCAGGCTCCCCCAAAACTGACATTTCCGAAGAAGGCTGCTGCGGTACGTAAATGCCTTGGAGTGCTGCTGTGCATCTTTCAGTTGTCCACGAGCACGAAATCATTTTGGGTGATGGTGGGCCCATTTCCATCAATGAAACATTGAATGGAGCAAGAACGGCCTGGGGAGTCGCGTCTCAGTGCACTGCTTTGCCGAGACTGAATCACTGCGACTCACAACTCCAGCACGTCTTGAGAGAAAATGCAGAGAGGGAGGGGCGGGCAGCTGACATTTAATTCAGAGTGAAGCTCGGTAGGCTTCTGAAATATCAAGAGAATTTTGCCTGGCATGTCTAATCCATCCGGTTTGTTGTCATGTGCGCAGATTAAGGAGAAGGAGAGGGTTGATGGAGACCAGTCGGCATTACATGAGAGACTTAGAATGCAAGCCATAGAGTCCTATCGACAGCGCAAAAATTGGTCGGAGAGACCTGGTCAACAATTGCCGAATTTAGATTTAGCGATCGCCGTTCCTGAATTATAGATCTCTCCCGACACAATCACTACACACAAAACTAGCATCGAGGGTCCGTATCACGTAGGCAAGGAGCAAATGCCGGTGTCTGTCTTTCTCTGGTGCTCTCGTGCTGTAGGTGCGCACGTCAGTTACTCCCGTGGGTTTGGAGCGAGCCGGCCTGGCTCCCCTTTCCTCCGCTAGAGAACGGAGTAAATCCAGTCGAGGTGATGCAGTAGCACCAATCCCTTCAAGCTCGAAAAGAATCGAGCTTCCTGTAAATCGAGACATGAATTGTGTCCTTCAAGTTCAGCAGAGCGAAGGATTTGTCCACAGAGTCATCACGTTGCTTGTTCATTCAACACTTATTCCCGAGGGCATTGCCCGTCACTTACGTGGCGGGCCTTGATCAGTCTCTCCCTCCCACCCCCCCCCCCCCCCCCCCCCCCCCCCCCCAATTAATTCTCAGGGCTGTTGCGATCATTGTCTTCAATTGGTATACAAGTCGGCGGTTTGGAAAACAGCAGAGGAGAAACCCAGAATCCGAATTTCGCCGTACGATGTCTTAGCAACTTTCCTTGCGAACGCTTGCAGCTATATTTCAAATTATCAGGATCGGAGAACTTGTGGACGGCCAGTCTTGCGTGCGTGCACACGGAAATGTAAATAACTCGAAAAATTCTTGCTGCAATTGAGTGGTGTTCAATCCTAGAGTGGCGTAACCAACTTCGACTCTCTTTTTCTGAACATTGCCAACGGTGTAGCATCTGTCTTCCTTTGTGTTCACCCAGACCAGTGAGCCCGCACGATGTAGATGCAAAAATTGTCTCTAACTGCAAGCTGCAAGAGATGGTGCTCCGCACTCACACTTCCGCATGGGAAATGATCCCTTCGCGACCGTAGATATGCAAGCTCTGGCGATCGATGATCATCACTTACATAGTGGGAACCAATCTCCGATCAATTGCCTGCCGAGCAACAGCTCGTGTACCCCATCTGTGGTTGCCCTGCAGTCTTCACCCATCAATCTCACGATTTTGTGAAGTCCTTAGACGGCATGCGAAGAACGACCTGAGCACATGGTGGGACCGAACTCAAGTGTGCGGTCAACGATCCTTCCGACAGAGAATCGGCCAATGGCACGGCGGATGAGGACAAGTCAACTCGAGTTCACGTTCGTTCGCGGTTAGTCGCGAATGCCGAAGATTGCGACGTGGGGGAGAATGTGGGCCGCGACCTCGGCACCATCGACTGACCGACTGTCAGCAGCAGCAGCAGTGCAGATGGGAATTTCCTCGTGGCGTTGCTGCGAATCTCCGCTCCCCGGACGCTGATTTTGCATCAGCCACGACGAGCCAGTGAAGCGATTGAGATACTTCGAGGAGCAGGATTGTTTCACGAAGAGAAGAGAGCATCCGCACCGGAACCGAGTTCCGTCGATGGAGAAGGTGGTGGTTGTCGTGGTGGGCAGAAGGGCTTATTACTAATCTCCTAAACCCCCAGAACCCTAACCCTACAAGTCGTATCGTCGTCGTCGTTCTCTCTCTCCCGTGCGCGAGGGAGGTGGGGAAGAGCGAGCTCCCGTGTATGGTCGTCAGATGGCATCGACTGTGAAGAGCCGAGTGTGTGCTCCTTCGATCGCATGCGGAAGCATAATCTCCGGAATTTTGGCAGCAGACAGTCAGTGGGCACGTGCATCGAGTGCATTTTTTCCAAGTCGTTGTGAATCCCACAAGTCGACGACGTCGTCCAGAACCGGCGGAGGTGGTGTTTCGTGGGGAGCTACATGCGGTTGGACTTCCACGTCTGGGTCCGGATGGCGAACTCGAGAGGCGTCGTCGGGCGGAACGAGGGCTGGCGGGAGCGGGTTCGTGATTCAATCACGGAGAAAGCTGCCATCGCCGAGCTGCAGTGCTGCTGCCGGCATGGAACGGAGAGCAGAGCAGCAGGAAGAGGACGAGGATGAGGACGAGGGTTTTGTGAGATTGAAATTGGCCGTCTTCCTCTCGGGCGGGGGCTCCAATTTCCGAGCTCTACACGCCAACACGCTCAGCAATTCCATTTACGGGGATGTCGTCGTGGTCGTGTCCGACAAGCCCGCTTGCAAGGGATGCGATTACGCCCGGGAGCACAATGTTCCCGTGCTGGCGTTCCCTCAATCCAAGAAACATGCTCCCGAAGGACTGACTGCGGTCGATCTCGTGGCAGCCCTGAGGAAGCTGGAGGTGGATTATGTGCTGCTGGCAGGCTACTTGAAGCTCATCCCGGAGGAGCTGGTGAGAGCGTACCCTCGGTCGATCCTCAACATCCACCCTGCGCTGCTTCCGGCCTTCGGAGGCAAGGGCTACTTCGGGATGAAAGTTCACGAGGCCGTAATCAAGTCCGGAGCAAGATTTTCCGGTGCCACGGTGCATTTCGTGGACGAGAAATACGACAGCGGGCCCATTCTGGCTCAGAGAGTCGTCCCCGTTTTGGCTGACGATTCGGGCCACGACCTTGCTGCCAGGATTCTTAAGGAGGAGCATGTGCTCTACTCCGAAGCCGTGGCCGCCCTTTGCGAAGATCGAGTGTTGTGGCGAGAAGATGGAGTTCCTCTGATTAGAAGATCTTGGAAAGGGTCGGCCGAATACTACTGATGATTTCATTGCAAATTTCATTGTTAGTTGAATCGCGGATTCCCTGCACTCGATGGCTCGCCGCCCGTCCAATTGACCCGGCGCTCGAATTCGAGACTTTAGGGTTGTGAATCTGTCCAGGTAAGGACTTCAATGTCCACCCGTCAATGGCCTTTAGCAGTATCGTCCGTTTTTGTATCCTCGGCATTTACATCTCAGCGATTGCTCTCATTGTCCATACTCCTCGACGAATTGCGTCTGCGTACGCTCTCCGAACCCATCACTCAAATTCGATGTTGTGCGAGGAAAGAGATGTGGAAGGTGTGTGGAAGTGCGGCCCAGGGACATTCCGGGGAGCGAAGCGCTTCCCGGACCCGAGTTGCATGTGTTCGGTCTGAGGTTCATATACTCATCTCATCGATCGAATCTCTGACAGCAGAGGAATTCGCAGACGCTCAAGACCTGGGTTCGTATGTGGGTGAGCATTTTTTGATTCAGGAAGTAGAATCCTTCCCCGTGCTAGGGCATCGATTCGTCCCCTATTTCTTCTCCGCTGGGTTTGTGCCCGCACGCACCCTTGAACATTGTAATTGTAACTTGAACTTTGTAATTGTTCTTCCCATCAGTATGGAGACTGTGGAGTAGCTGAGTCTCCCAAGCCCACGACACTTTGAGCCGACCAGAGCATTGTTGCGCCAAAATTGTGCCTTCGTTCCTGCGGCTCCGAGTTCTCTCACACGTCTTTCGACATTTGTTCGGATTCTTGTTCTGGATTGCAACGTCGTCATCGATTCTTGCTTGGCGAGCGTGTGATCTTTACTGTACTCTGTCGTGTGCAATTCCTGAGGTCTTCGATTCTCACGTGATTGCAGTGTAAAATTTACATCATGCAGTGGTCAGCAAACTGTCTCTTCAGATCCTTTGCGACGGTGTATGAACCGAAAAAAATGGCTTCGAAAGTGAGCGAATTTCATTCCACGCACTCTTCTCTCTACAGACTTTCTCCCTACGTCCACATTCAGATTGTGATTACTGATACGAGGTTTTAGAATGTTAACTCCTCGGCTATTGCCGAATACATCTTCTCCACCCGCCAAATTGTATGCATGCAAAGCGAACATGCCAAAGTTACACACATATTGTAAGAGCTATGGAGATATGCAACTTCAACGACAGAAAATATTGAGTTGAAACTCTTTCCGAATTATGAGTCTAAGTTAGAAACTGAAATTTAGTAGACGGAAGTAATCATGTCCAAGAAAAGAAGGCAATCATGAAGAATAGGTGCTAACTTTGACATATGCACTACGATTCATGTTTTGATTATCTTCCTTATCAACAACTGGAAAACACCATGTCTAAAACTATCGAATTTAAGTTATTCTCAAGCTTATATTGACTCTACAATAAAGAATGAATGTACAGATGTAAAGAGATGGACGTGAACATCTTTGTTTTACATCTCTAACTTCGTATGTCAAGCACATGGATATGATTACTCTACTTCATGAAAGATTTTTCAACAAGAAAGAGTATTCAAATAATCTTCAAACGTCCTTGAAGGAAGGGACAATGAGACAAAGATTGTAGATCATACTAATATTTTCATTTATCATGTTGTGAACTTGCACAATCTTGATGAGAGAAAATCTCTTCTTCACTTGAGTACTCTTTCTAAGTCATGTCAAGTTTTGTTTAATTGTGATGGTGGGGGACGGTGAGTGCGTGACGGTGGGTTTATCAACATCGGCATTAGGATTTCAGCTGAACTGGATGTGTCTCTGCCATACTATTTAGCGCGAGAGTCTTCTGGTCGCGCCGTATATTATCTGTATGTTCCCCTGTACAGAACCACGCAAACCACATTATTTATTGTGTATTTTGTCGTGTGGATTGTGACTATGTCTTGTGGAATTCCGCAACACATGATTGAATGAAGGTTTAATGTTAGATTGATGACATAGAAAAAAAATTATTATTTTTACTGTAATTTATATTGAATTAAGTATATATATGCAGTACATTTCATGTGACCGATTCAGGTTTGACACTACTCATATTAATCTATTGACGTATCCAATCGGGGTTTCACATCATGAAGAATGGTTAAAAATATATCTAATGTATCAAGTCTTGGTATAGATTAGCATGATAAGTGGTATCATGTTTGCATGGTAACAAGATACAACCATACATGACTCACATAGGCTTAAAGAAATGAAGAGCTAATTGTTGCGTTTTGAATTTGGTTGGAAATACAATAACATTGCTCGCAAGATTTCAATCCAAAATTGTTATAAGCTTTGTCTTCAAAGAAATGTATATGCTTCAACTTCGTTGTTATACATGTTTCCATGTATTTTGTAGCAGACCTTATCTTGTCATATGTTCTTAGACAAGAAAACAAGGTACATGATTTCGTACATGACAAAAACAAAACGAAAGCTTGTAATTTGCAAGGCTTGCACGGGCGTGATTATATTAGTTCAGGTTTTATAAGGTTTTAGTGTTCAATCCAATGTATCTGATGCCACATAAATGGGGTTTAATTCAATTTTAATGAAATGGAAAGTACAACTATAATATTGTTATACCAGAGGCGTTGGTATCTAGTAGATACCAACACCTTTAATTCGGAAATCCTATCTAACTAGGGTTTAGGGTGCTTGTTCTCCTTGCTTCAACTCAGAGTTTTTGGTTTCATGACTCATGATCATTTCTGTCGGAGGGTTTAGGGTGCTTGATTTTCTTGCTTGAACTCGGAGTTTTTGGTTTCCTAACTCATGATCATTTCTGTCGGGCTAGTTCTCGTCATTTGTCTCATTTGACAACAGAATCGTCAAGTGACAACGCAATTTCCAGTGCTGCCATTTGCCTCAAGCCAGTTCGTTACTATGGAACTAGATGGAACTCAAGGTTGCAAACGCGATTGCCCTACGAGCACGATCTGGATCTTATTCACGATTGATGTTGATCTGGAGAATGCCAAGAGTGTAAGTTGCAACACTGTATCAACCTCGTTAATCATCACAAAAAGAGCGAATCCGCGAAGACGCACCTCAACAAGTGTCGGAAGTTCCGCACATTCATGAATGGACTGGAAGATGCAGATCGCCCATACTGGTTAATTTGCAACAAGAAACATGTCTATGTAGAGCATGCAAATTTGCCAAATATGAGTCAGGCCGCCTGTTGAAGCATTTAGAGATCGATCAAAGATTACATGCTCCCGAAGGTGTCTTATACCGAGAAACATGAGTTACAAAAGAAGATTCTCATGCATTACTTCACTACCAGCAATTCCTTCCATAGCATCGGAGACATACATTTAATGGATGCTATCAAGATGTTTCGTCTCGATGATGGGTTGATGTCGAGTCGAAAGCAGCTAGCGATCTCCCTGCTTGACAAGTGCCACCAAGATTTGAAGACGAATGTCAACGCTTGCATAAAGGGTTCTTTGACATGACTCACCACCGACGGGTGGTCTAACATCAAGAACAATGCAGTCATTAATTATATGGTCGTCTCTCCCGATTCATGTTTGTACCTGGAGGCAGTGCTGACATGACAGTAAGGATACAACCACGAGTTCAATGCCAACGACGTGGAACGCGTGTTCAAAACGTACAAGAGCACTACGTTTGTAGGCGCGATGATGTGCAACACAACCGCGGACATGAAGACCTGGAGTGTTACGCAGCAAGTTCTTGTCCCCCATCACACGGACTGCACATGTTTGTGAAGTACATCTTCTGTGCGACAAAGATCAAGAAAGTAGGCGACAAAACAGCAATCTATCCGTTCAAGAAAATGATGCTTTTCATCAACAAGTGCAAAGATATCGTGAAGTTCTATGACAATCAACATGTGGTCAAGACGCAGTTCGAAGAGATGCATAAAGCTTCGGTTGCTCTGAGCCTCGTTCATCTATGTTTCACGCCCTAGGGCATCATCGAATAGACATGCAAGACCCTCCTCACTTCAGAACAACACGCGATCGTCTCTGCACGCGACTTTATGAAGGGAACGGTCGGCGAAGTCAAGTAGTGTACCAAGTTCAAGGAAACTATCACCGATTCAAAATTTGTTGACCTTTTGAAGAAAACAAAAATGAGACATTGAAGCCCCTCACCATCCTCATAGTTGAGTGCCAATCCAATAAGGTTTACATCTCGGAGGTGATGCCAAATTTTCACGCATAGCCCTTGAGTTTTCGAAGCTACTCGCAGCCAATATCATCAATGAGTACGAACTCATGTATCTAATCAAGATATGTGTCTCGTGATTGATATTTTTGTACGGCAATGTACACAGTACCTACATGCTCGATCCACGGTTCATTGCGGAGAGAATGCTAAGGCAGGTTCATGAAGCGCCGAAAGACATCATGTTCCGATTTCTTGCTGATGATGAGCCGCACGAGTCTATAGACGAAGTGCAAGCGCATATCATCTTCAAGCAGGTACATAGATTTTGTCATTGCCGCGATCAAAGCGAAGGAGTGTGAGTCGATGCGCTACAGAATGTTATCCAAAGGCCATAAGATCGTTTTGCAGTATTGGTTGGTCTATAGCAAATATTGGCCCTTGCTGCAAAGTGTGACCATCAAGCATTTTAGCATGGCGACGTCCGGTGCCGGGTGGAAGTCTCTATTAGAGAACTCCACTTGTCATTTTCGCTTGATAAAATCATTTCAGAGATGTCCACGTGTCAATAAATAAACTCATCAAATATCAAGTTTTATTGTATGAAACCATCAACCTTAATGATTTTGCAAAAATTTACTGGTCTTAGCCACCCGTGGTAATTTGTTCACAAGATGTAAGGATCGGTGAGTTGCAGTGGATGCAACACTCCGGATTTGAAGTTTTCTCGATCTTTGTGGATATGATTTTCCTCGTTTGGCGCTGCACTGCCTGCGGCTTTAGTACCTCAAGTACTAGTTGAAACTAGAATGCATCTTGGCAACACTTTCCTTGAATTGCACACTCGTGAATGTACACTTGGACAGAAATATGGTAGCTTAATATAATATTACGACATCCTTCTGACAAATTATGAAGTTATTATTCGCCAAATCAAAGAGTAATATCGTCCAACAATCCGTTCTACAAAATGAACATTCAACATTGTCCCACCATAAGTTCCTGCTCTTTCTTTCTGTGGAGGTAGGAGAGATTTTATTCTTCCCTCTTGAGGTGGATAGGCCCTATTGCACTTGTTACATATTCTGCCAAATTGCACAATCTACCTAGATAGAATTCGATATCGGCAGCCAAATTTGGCAACCAAATTGTACCATTTGTTCACACATTACATGGGTCGACGTTGAATACACCAAACGTATTTCATGTGGTCATGCCGTGTTTCAACATATGACTGTGTGACACTGCTCTCGATCACTGCTGGCATTTGCAGCTTTGACACGAGTCTGCTCGGGTCTCCACGACGCTGCTGGGTGTTTGCTTGTGTGCAGTCCGTATTGTGGTCGTGATTATGGAAGTTTAGTCGCATCCTTTGCAACACTGAACTGATCGCTGACAGGTGCTTGTTTGGCATCAGAGATCCTTCCATTCAAGGCCTCACGGTCCAGACTTGGATCGATAACCTCCGAGTTTACATTGTTTGCAGGCTCTGCAGGATCCCTCTCAAGTGCTGGGCCGGAATCTTCAGATCCAGTTGCAGACGACTTCCGATCGCGTTCAATGAGCCATACCGGTACGATTGTAGGTGCAGGGTAGCTCCCAGGCTTGTCTCCCTTGATGTTCGACGGATCAGATCCAGGCAGCGTCAGGCCAATCGCCATAATGGTCTCTCTTGATGCAACAACAGGTGTCCAACTTCCCCCCAGACGAGACGGGTCCTTGGACTCGACCCTTGGATCTTCGCACACATCTGGATTGCAAACAGCACTAACCGATTTCGGAAGACCCTTGTTCCAACTAGACGATTTATTCGACAGAAACGGACCCTTGTTGTGGAATCCCACCATCCAAAGCGTACTACTGATAAAGACTAGAAAAATCACGATCGAGCCGGTAGAATAAGCACACCATCGTCGAGACTTAGGGTCTGCGATCTTCGTCAAAGATGCCGTCCATCCTGCGTTCGAATCCTGCTGCGCTTCCCTGCTGTGCCGAACATATGGTGAAGACGGCGAATCGCTGGAAGTCATTCTCTCCCGACACGATCCAATTGGGAGCAGATCTAGTGAATACCAGCAATTCTCAGCACCTACACACTGACCAGACTGAGGCAGTTCTTCATACGACACTGGATGGTTGATGGTTGACCAAAACCTGACATTGCAAAGGTGGTGATGTCATCACTTCTCGAATCCGGTGCATTGCGAGCACTCCGAGCCCCGAAGTCGCCAGGCCACACATCTGGAAAGAGGAATCCGCTTTTCACCTTCATGAAAGTCACGCGACAACAGTTACCAGTTTTCGATTCTTTTTACGTGGTGGAAATTGGAACTCGTTAATGTGAACGATCGATCATTCGAGAACGATCGCTTTCTAGTGTTCCCAGGGCCTCATTCCCGCACACAGCACAACACTGTGGGTCATGAACGCAAACTCTGCTATCCAAATCTTCACGACATGCGAGTCATGGGGGCGAAAAGTATGCATGACTGTATCCGTCCTCCAGTGTGGTTACCTCCCTTGAACCCAGCATACAGGTAGTATGCGTTAGGCTCCATAGCATCACAATAATTATGATGTCCAAGGACGCCTAATATGTATTCAATACGTTTATCACACTTTCTGTAAACCGCTCTAGCAACTTTAAGAATGTTAACTTGATTGGTCTCCGGTACTTTGCATGACCACGTAATTCGTGTTAAGTAAACTCAACGTCAATTCATGTAATGTGTGGTCAAACTGTGAGATCTGTAGCCGAATCTTGAATCTCGATGCCAAATTTTGTATGGCTCTTACATATCAATGGATATATCACTTCCAAAATGATCTTTACCACGACGAAGAAGTTGAGAACGTGACAAACAACATGAGAAACTTACCGCAATCTTTTACAGATGTAGTTGAAGAATTTATGACTATAAGGTTAGGTAACCAATATTTTGTAACAATCTAATTCATAGAAAATGATATGGAATGTAGCGAATTTAAGATTCATTGGCCAAGAGAATTATGTGCATTAATAAATAGATGTTATTGATAGTTTTAGCTTTTTCTCTCTACATTCGATATTTATGTTCCAAAAAAATGTCGCATGTGAATCATTTACAGTTACATCAATCAAATGATGAAGACCAAGAAAACAATTTGAAGCACAAATTGGAATAATCTCTCTAATTTCCAAAGAAATTATTTACATTAGATGCTGGAAATCGAGACTTCCAAGTCCATGAAGTTACACTCATTGAGCTAATTGAACATCGGCTCATGGGCGGAAACTTGCCTAACTTTGAGCCTCTATGCAATCCTAGTCTACGTTTATCAAATTCATTAAACATGACTACTGAACTCATGTTATAAGACAAGTACATTAGCAGTCCAACCATTGAGACTTGCAATGAAATGTTTTCACTAAAACTATTCTTCTTATGCAAATTCCAACACCTACAAAAATATCTCTATCTACCTTGATCCAAACTTTCATCTGTAACAGGACCATCTGAAAACCATCTTGAGTCTCATAGTCTGGAAAATAACAATGTTCATATGCTAAATACAAGACCCAAAAAAAATTTGAGTAAAAAACAAGTAGTATGTTGGACAATAACATCACACATGATAATAGGTTTTGGATCATTATTTAATCATGAAGCATCTCTGACATCAATTTCATCAGATTGTATGATAGAGAAGTAAAACTTTTTAGATTAATTTGTTGCAATTTGACACATTAAGTATTTTAAATCTAAAATCATAAAATATTTTCATCTTAAAGCAAAATTTATTTACATAACTTAAGTCAACAAAAAAAAAGTGTTTCATGCAAATGCATATTTTGAAGAGCTTCGAAACCACTTTGGTTTTCAATATAAGTCTCAGATCTTAAGCATCATTTTTAAGGTCAAAGAGAAAAAGCTCGGCTAAATTATTGTTGTTCTGCAACTCTATATTTAAAAGGTCTTCACATTTCAGATTTCTTCATGATACAACTAGACTTTTAGGAATACAATATAAAATTCAAAACACTGTTGAGAAAGATAGCATTTAATCATCTTTATTAATATAGAAATTGCCTTCGAAAACCCCTAGTCGATTGCAATAATCTTCAGAGTGTTACTATAGATAATGAAACTCAAACCACAGTAAGAGAATAAAAGTAACGATCAAGAAAGTGTGAATGAAATTATACTTGAAGTTTAATAAGAGAAAGGATGACCAGGTTTTAAGTGTGGAAGAACTTCAAATTTCAGGATCAAAAGAAGATGAGTAATGTGTATTTAATCAAATTTAACTAATACTTTAGTCGAGACACTTGGCTACTTTTCAATATCAACAATGCGACATTTACTTCAAGTGCGAATATGCGCACAAATCACTGTTTTGTATATTCTGAAATAAGACATTGACTTTCAAAGAAAGAATGATGGTTTCCTCCCATCTAAGGACCTTAGATGGGAGGAAACCTTAGCCTTGGAGCACGAGGTGTACCCTCTATGCATCTGTGTGAATTGGTTATGAGAGATGTTAACTACATATTTTGTATCAGACAAACCATGAAATTCACAGCTGCGTCTTATTGACGGCCACTATCTTTCTATTTACTCCCATATCATATGTCAACTGCAATTTATACGAGCAACCCTTCGCTTGATAGTGTAGATATGAGAGAAGTAACTTACCAATATGAATCCTACGAGGTACATGACGATTTCGGAAAGTACGAACCTGCCTCAGACATCTTGAAGATGTTTTCAAATAAGCTTCGACAGTAAAAGAAGCAGTAAATTTAACAAACACAGTCCCCACTTTTTTTAGTCAGCCCAATAGAAGTGTTCCAGTTCTCTACATGCTATAATCAGAACACAGATTGCAAACTGCATTTCCAGTTCGGACTGTTTACTCTTGGTGGCCTAGAAGGCTGTCATTTAGTCTAAACGGCGATCAGATTAGTCAATGATGACGCCTACATGCCCTACATGCCCTCAATGCATCATATTTATCTCAATGCTAACCTCCTGTTTAGAAAAAGGAGTTTAGCCATCAGATAACTCAAATCTGAGACGAAATATGATAATGATCAGGTAGACAGAACAGAAAACGCAAAACTTGCTTACATGACATGTATAAATAATGGAGATATGTAGTTCTAGGATCTAAAAGTCAGGTGTGCATGAAGTACGGCAGGCGCAACATATGGAGACACTGCATTCACGTCGAAACTGCAAACTAGGAAGCAATATGCTGTATATTCGTATGTTTTCGAGTTCGCTCTGCTCGAAATCGATGCAGGACACATGCATGTTATTTCTAAATTGCTTCCAGGAACACTAAAACTATCGCCAACATGAAAAACAGAGCAAGAAGGGACCTTGGTCTGAAGTGATAATTAGTGTCTGCAGACCGGGCTCGCACAGCCGCTTGACATAATCTACAGAGACAATCCCAGTGCATACCGGCAATTTCAAAGTAGGGAAGAGTCGCCAAGAACTTTGAAGGATTTATAATGCAGGAACATGACCGTTTTTGAGATAGACCAGAATACCTGAAACTAAATGCAGGACACGGAGGTGGGCAGAGTGAGATAGAATGAACCCAGAGAAGATCTGAAGAGGCTTGGAACCAATAACTTGCTTCTGAAAGGAGATCAGATGTTCTTATTCAGATCTCCTGATTGAGAACATCGGATCTAATCAGGAGGTCAAACTAGGATCTGATCAAGTAAAACATAACATGTTCTCTGTACATGGATCGAGAGTTTTCATAGATATGACCTTGAATGCAGGACGAGTCTGGTCGGATGATGGGGCATTTATGAATAGCGACTTTCGTGTGAAACTTGACCTGTTATTGTAAAAAGAAACGCCGATGATCGGGTTCTCAATCTCTTTTCATGTGACAAAATAAACTTAAACAACACAAAAGACTCTACCTCGAAAGCAAGAAAAAATTTCAACTTAACTAATCAGCTCTCATATTTCAAACCCATAATGGTTAGTTCTCTGAGACTTCATCAACTTTTCGGAACGATGTACGCGCTACAGGGAAGGTATTAGCTTCACAGAAATTCTCTGTGCTGTTTCAGATATTCTACCTACTGATCTAGAAATGAAACGGTTGCAGTTTTTTCATTGACCAGAGGTAGAGTATAAAGCAAAGTAGTTTCCATTTAGATGTGAATTGTCAGCATTTTCAACTCATTTTCAAGTAAAGCGAAGTACAGAATGTTAGTAATCGTCCGAGGTGCGCTAAGCACCTGTGAAAAGACAGTTGGTCTTCTCTCTAGACATAGCTACTTTCAAAAATGAGGCCCTATCTAAAAGAATGGGTGATCTACAGCAATGAATTGTATTCCCTACCTAAGCTACTTACACCAACTCACGGTTTCAACTCAAACGTTGAAGCGAAATAGCAATACATCTCCTTCCTGCACAATGTACTCTTTGCCTTCTTGCCTCAACAAACCTTTTTCTCTAGCTACTGCCAGGGAACCAGCTGTGACAAAATCGTCATAGGCAACAGTTTCTGCTCGAATGAACCCGCGTTCAAAATCTGAATGAATAACGCCAGCTGCTTGCGGTGCTGTCATGCCAGCTAAAATTGTCCATGCCCTCGTTTCCTTTTCACCACAAGTGAAGTAGGTGCGGAGACCTAATAAGCTGTAGGTGGATCGAACCAGAGAAGTTAACCCTCCTTGGTCGACGCCTAGAGATTGCAAATAATCGGTCCTCTCTTCGGGATCCAGCTCTGTCAACTCAGCCTCAACCTGAGCAGAAACCACGACGACGTCGGCGTTGAGACTGCTGGCCACTTGCCTCACTTGTTGGACGTGGCTATTTGCCGATGAATCTGCCAAATCCGCTTCAGCAACATTCGCTGCGAAGATGACCGGTTTCATGGTGAGCAAGCATAGCTGGTCCACCATTTTCTTCTCGTCATCCGTGAGTGCGACTGCACGGGCAGGAATGCCGCTCAGAAGGGCGTCATTTATCCTCTGCAGTGCGGCAGCTTCCAATTCTTCCTGCGCCTTGACCTGAGGATCCTTGACCCTGCCCTTCTTCAGCCTTTCCAACCTCTTCTCAATCTGAGCCATGTCCGAGAATGCCAACTCCAAATTGATGACCTCGATGTCCGACGCGGGATCTACTTTACCACTGACGTGGACGATATCATCGTCCTCGAAACACCGAACAACCTGTACAATAGAATCTACTTCGCGAATGTGCGACAAAAATTTGTTCCCCAGACCCTCGCCTTGACTGGCACCTTTAACGAGCCCAGCGATATCCACGAACTCGACCGAAGCAGGAACAATCTTCTGAGATTTGCCGAGTTTGGCCAAAATCTCCAGGCGCGGGTCGGGCACAGCGACAATCCCGACATTGGGCTCAATCGTACAGAAGGGAAAATTTGCAGCTTGAGCCTTGCCGTTCTCGACCAAGGCGTTGAAGAGAGTGGACTTGCCCACGTTCGGCAGTCCCACGATTCCACCTCTCAGCGTCATACTCACTCGCCCGGACACATTGCCACCGGACATCCCCCTCAATCCGAGGCATCCTGATGGCGACCCGGTGAACACTCTCGCCAAGCCGGACGAGAGGAGCGCTCCCCGCGACCTCGCGCACGCGATGGGGAGGAAATGCGACGACAGCGAGAAGGTGTGCTGCACCACTCCAGCAGCCATGGTGATCGATGCCGCAGCAGCAATGTCGCCCCTCGTTCCCTGCTGTCTACAATTTCGTACCTCTCCTCGACATGGCACTCGGAACGCGAGCGACTTTGCCCTGGCCTTCTCGGCGGCACCGGGACCAGCCGGTGGCAACACTTGTCGCCACGCAAAGACTATCGGCCTATCCACAATCCACGATGCCGTGAACTCTCTCAGTCTTCGAGCAGCTTTGCACAATCCGCACGAACACAACATTCATGCATGAGTATCTCTTTCGACGACAAATTGTGCTTCAATCACATGTCTTCCATCTGCGTTCATATAATACTACGTTTTATTGGATTTCAATGGAAATGGAAATTTCAAGATGTAAGTTTGATATGTCATTAACATAGACATTTGCTTAAAAAATTAGTTACAGATTGTTTTGATATGTTGCCTAATTCGTGGTGCTCATGTAAGTCTCTTCCTTCCACTCATGAGATTTCATGCGGTTGATATTATTACAGTTAAAAATTGATTCAGCAATATTTTAGTTTTAACTCATCATTATACCCTCATATCTATAGTGCTCAAAAAAGAGGCATAATTCTTTCCCGATTTTTTCCTTACAGAACTTCATCTTATCATTTAAACCATATTGATACCATTATAACGGAAAATATTTATACAGACCGATATAATATTGATAATGAAAATAATTTCTTACAATATAATGCTACTTCTACGATTAGTATCTCTTTTCCCATTTATGTTTTCAATCTTTTTGATAGCACATGCCTAGACAAGTCTGTGAAAATTAATTTTAAACAAACTTAGACCCAACTCAAGCAAAAAAACATATTACTTAAAGTACAAAATATTTCATAATACATTGAGAATTCTTTAGCTTCAATAGTGGAAACAGTTATATCACAACGATGTATCAGGGTCAAAAAGTCATGATGAAAATAGGACTCCAGCATTAAATAAAATATCAAAAATTCTCAATTCTTCTTCAAGTCTTGACACGATCATCAATCAGAAAAAAAAACTTATTCATTCATGTGAACTTGAATCATAAGAAGATACATTTTTATGAAAATTTTATTTCCAATAATTTAATGTTTGAAAATTTTTACAGCTGATTGGACGTAAAAATCTGTATGCTTTATGTTGAGTTTTAAATGTGTTTTATTATCATTATTCACATAGCAAATTTATTTTTCCAATTTAGAAAAATGATGGAATGTGCTGAGCAATAATTGTAGCAAGAAAATGTATTCATTTCATGTGTATAATTGTAAAAATTCACGTTTCAAAAAAATCAAAATGTATTGATTCATAATATTTGAACTGATACTATCAAGTATGAATATATTTCTATATTTTTAATATAATTAGAAATATGACAATACAAGTAATACAATAGCATTCTAAGAATTAAAAAATTCATCCTTTTAAAGGAATTGAAAGGTTATGAAAATAAAATAACTTTAAAAATAAATTAATAATTTAAAACATGAAAAAATAATTTTAATGAAGAATGATTATTGGCTACAAAAAACACAGAAGAATTAAATCATAAACTATTATTGTGAAACTGAAAAATTAAATTTTGTAAAATAAAAAAAATATTCATGTTGGATACTTTAAAATAAATATTTATAACTAGTTCAATTTCTGATTTTTTTATTCACTCCATTTTTTGAGTAAAAAAAATTAAAAAAAAAATTTAGAAAGAATTTAATTGCAAATAAAAAGATAAATTAGTGTTGTTTTAAGATATGTTTCATTCAGGCCATAGAATATTGACATATTATAATTTTATTCTTTGATTTGTTGTTTATGCTTAGAGTTATTAGATTGAAACATGTTTTTATGTTTATTATTTTGATATCTTATCGGACTGATTAAATATATGTATTATTTTTTATTTTATCTAAATCAATTCCAATATGCAGGTGAACATGATAAAAAATTCCACATTGAGTATCAACATGTTGTTCATATGATGAAAGTAGAACACTTGATATATTCCTACTCTTAAATTAGTTAAATGTAGTAAGATGCTGAATTTTATAATTATATAAGTGATTACAACGACTTACATGATTGAACTATAGTATTATTGAGAATAAAAATTATTTTAATCTTCAAATATACATATTTAAACATTTCTAAAGATATGGTACTAGATTAAAAATTCGGCTATATTTAGAAAAAAGGATTTGTCCAAAATCCCCACTTCTAACGAGAAAAGTATCTAATACACTTTAAATCTTGGACTGATATGAAGAGAATATTTTTAGATTAAAATATAATGACAATACGCTTTGTATTGATGTACTTTTGTACACGTTCCGATTCATCTCCGGTTAGCAGTGAAGTATTAAATTATGTATTCAACCGAAATGAGTAATTTTGATATCAAATACTTTCCAAAACAGTACTTGGTATTTATTTCAAAAGTTCATTAATTTTTCTTCAAAGTTTTGTTCTTTTGTAACCATTTACGACAACATTGGATACCTCTCGAATTGAATTGTCTAACAGTTAGGTGTGAGTGTTGATTTCAACATCTGTAAGTTAGTACTCATTCATCAAAAAAATTATATATTTCTGTCGCTGTGTACACCCTTCTCATTTTCCTCTAGACAGCCAAACTGCAAGCTGGACAGAGATTTAGTTGTACTTGAGAAAATAGTGGTTTGTCGTTCTACAAAGGAGACAAAGGATTGAATCATTATAATCCGGACAACTCTGACCCTTCAGCAGAATCTGTACAAAGGTATAGATACTGTACAGTGAGAAATCGAAGGGGTCGTTACTTCACCTTGCGGGAGGTCGACTGATTTGCACTTAGACCGTGAGGTGGTCAATGTTAGAATACAGTTCATCTGATATGCTAGATTGCAAACCTGCACCTTGTAAAGATCTTTTCATGTGAAGAAGTTTGACAACATGTTCAGTCTAAGTTCGAAACTAGTCACCCGTTAATTTGCATTGTGCATATACCACCCAGATACAGAGAGGAATAAAAATTCCACCTACTGACTGTGAGGCGAAATTTTCGAGTTAGAGCTCAGATTCCATGGGCTAGTTCACAAATCATATAATTCAATTATAGAACTACTTTTATTTTGAATAATCAAATGTATCCAGGTATAGCGGATGAGAGATATCACATGTTTCTTATAATTGAAGTCATATCTTTAACACTATTTTCTGGGTATTATATGAAACAATATATGCCCACTCCTTGGTGAGATTATCATCATGATTATTTAAAAGTCATCTTTTGATTCCATTTTTTTTTATCGTAAGGAACTAAAACTACCAATGTTTCCATAAAGAGTGAAGAGGCATCGTTTATATTCAGAAATATCAATTCACAACTAAGTCAAAGTGTGTACATAGGTGTATAGCTGTGATCATGTGATATTTTATATGTTGGGATAATATGCAGAGTGTTCGATTTAGATAGGTCTAGTATCTAAGATGAAATAGTACAAATTTCGCATGTGATCCTAAAGGTGGTATGAAGCTAGCCAAATCATACCACCTTTGGTTCCTGAATATGAGAATGCTTGTGGGTTCTTACTATCCTTGTTGCTAAATAACTCCTCCTCTTTTAAGTGTTGAAAAGTCCAATATCATAATTATGTTAAGTTCGCACGCCACAGCTTTTGATTTATAAGCGACACATTCCACACAAAGAAGAAGATTTGATTCCAGCTCAGGTACTCGGGACCTTATTCACAACGACACGATACACTACGGATTATATACAAGTCTCAGCAGTTTTAGAGCCACACGCTTGCTTTCTCGCTACTGTACTCTACAGAGTCTACACAACCAGCGTTAGTGCAAGGAAGGTACAGTCGTACATCGAACTCTGTAAGCCACAAATACAGAGGAACGCCCATGAGAGCGAATGATGAGCGCAATGCAAGCCGACGACAGACCAAAGCATCTGAAGACATTCGAGGACATTAAACAATTCCCCTCGAAGAATCTCGGGTCGAATTCGAAAGTTTTTCGGTATGAGTGAGCTTACACGGACCATGTGCCATCGCAGATACTCATTGTCATCGTCTGCTACTCACCTTCTATTTCAGTACATCCACTTCCCTCCAGTTGTGAAATAGTGATGTGCCTCAACTTTTGAGGTGCCGTACTGAACTCCTTGCTCCTGTCTGCCAGTTAACTTACTTGCTGAATGATACAGACATGTACTGTACTCGTCCATCGAAATCCCTGCTTCGGGGCTCCAGGTACACATGTTCTCGTGCTCGGAAGGTCGGAAACTCCACGCCGTCGATCTCTCGATAATGCACATGATGCTGCGCACAGTCTTCGGATTTCTCACCAACCTTTATCAATTCCTTCTCAGAACTCATACGTGTTGGGTTCTCGGATCCCATCGTGGAATTTTTCCAGCACGGAAGATGGGATACCACCCATTCAATTTTCCAGGACCGGGGTTCTCTACTCCTCTCTAATCCTGGTCACTTCTGCAGTAGCAGCACTACAGGTTCAGCCACTACAGAACTTTAGATCGTAAGCAGCGAGTAAAATAGCCAGAGGCCGTACGGGGATGAACCCACTGCTTTGGCACCGCCGGCTGTGACGCGATCAAAAGTACACCCCGTAGAATGTCCTCCAGATGTAGAGGGACGGAATCGGCATCGGCGAAAGGTCGCCCGCTGAGCCGAGCAAAATTGGCTGGCAGATGGTGGCAAGCGAGGGGTGATTGCAGGTGCTACCTCGTAGCGGTATAGCTGCTGTAAAAACACGTACGTCAACGGTAGATTGGGTGACATATTCATTCGTATCCACGAGACCTGGTCGAAATCCGAGCCTGCAGTTTTGGTCTGGATCCCGGGAGAGAAGCTAGAATCCGCATACGTCCGTGGGCAGATCTGGTTGGTGAGTAGCAGGGCCGAGGGAATCGGAATCCGACGGGCAGCATCTGAACACCTGACCGTCCATAATCTCCTACCAAGACGTACATCTATTGTTATTACACAGAATATTGCTCTCGTTCTAGCGTCCTGAATATCGCTCGTGATTATAAGCCAATCGGGCCATTCAGAAGGCTTTTAAGTCTGTAACTGATCCGATTATTAGAGGGCTGGGCCAGATGGGGCGTACCATCGCTCTTCGAAAGGAAAGGGAAACAACGGAGCGACTCGATTTTTCAAAGCTCTGGGAGCCATGGTTCTGCTGGATGCAAAACCCGACACCGAGCATCGAGCGGTGCATATTTACTTCGGCCGACGTCTGACTGTAGTGGTCGGATCTGAATCATCTGACGTCGCTGGTAGAGATGGAGGGATTCTCGCTTGTTGATTGGAGGCCGTGCCATATCGCATTGTCCTCTCGGAGTTTGCCTTGCGTCCTGGTGAGGAGGAGTCAGGACCAATATCGATGGGCTTTCTCTATATGTTACTGGCACTGGTACCCGAGGGGAGGGCCCGCTTGCCTTTTGGGGCTGCTGCGGTATGCTGGTTCTTCTCGCATTATTGATTCCGGAAATCTCACTCAACTACATTTCATCGTATCCAGCTTTGAAGAGTAGCTCGGCACCGCTTTTTCGCTTCGCGGAAACTCATCACGACATTCGAGCCAGAAAGCGCGGCTTACATGGCTCTCCTTCGAGCTTCGGAAAGCACCTCCGCACATCGTCTTCGACACATCTCCGCAACCTTCTGTCCTTCACACGTCTCGATCGGCCCTTCGGTGGCTGCATCAATCCACCTTTTCCCGAACCCGGCGGCTCCTCCGGACGTCTTCTCCGGGCGTCGCCAGCGAGCAATCTTCGTCAACTCTCGAAGCTCGACTGGTTGACTTCGCCGTGGACGGTATGCGCTCGGCTTCTCCACACAGATGTTGCTTGACGTGGCGCGGTCGAAAGTCCACATAGAACGCTTCGTCACCTCGCAGGCTCGAGGCAACGGTGACGTGGCGATCTCGACGACGATGAAGCTCCGATCGTAGATCCAGAAATGCGCAAGGTAGACTTTCCTTCCGGAAGAATGCTCGATTTCTTTCTAAACCCTCGAGGCCTAAATAAACAAACCATATCCGGGCCGAGCATTTCCTTTCCCTCCCCTTCCCTTCCCTTTCCTCCGCGCTAAAATAATGCCTCACGATGTATTATTCGCCGATCGCCCATCCGCGCGTGAGAGCGTCAGTGGATCAGAGTCAGTTACGGAATCCTCCTCCACTGAACATGCCGAGCGAGAGGAAGTGATTTTGAATTTGAACTGACGCCTGACGGAAGCGGAATACTGTAGTTTAATGATCGGATGAATATTCTCCAGTTTGAAATGGGCTCCGGAGTGCGCTGGACACGAGCCCCCACCGTGGCTGCAAGAACCGGAGGACCGAAGCAATGAAGGCGGGCGGACCGGACCGGACCGGACCCACAGGATTCCCCGCCCGCCCCTCCCCACGGAAGTGTCAAAGAGGCATCGAGACAGCGGCGTAACAGCACACGGGAGCCAGGGCTAACGAATAGAGGGACGTTGACGGATGGGATGGCAGGTGGCAGGCCGCGGTAGGCAGCGAGCAGACTTCGCTTTTGCAGGGCGAGCCAGGTCGGGTGGGGACCGGGGACGGGGACGGGGACGGGGACGGGCCGCGGGCGATCGAATGCGGATGGAGTGAGTGAGTGAGTGATCGAGGCAGAGTCGCCGCTGCCTGGCTGTCGGCGAGGGGCCGAGGGGGGCCGGGGCTTGTGTTCTTCTTCGCAGGGCGGGGGGGCGAGGAACGGATTCTTCCACCCCTGGCTCCCTTACCTTCCAGGCTGCTCCTCCTCCTCCAGCAGCAGCAGCTCCACGCGTGAGCTTTCCGGGCGGCGTTCGTCGTCGTCGAGGTTGCATTGGAGGAGGGGAAAAAGGAAGCACGGGAGCGGAGGTCGGAGGGGAGGAAGGACAGAGCGAATGAACGGGGTGTTGAAGTGGGTGATGAATTCGTTCTCTGACTCAATCACTCGGGCACACGCGCGATTCTAGCTCCGAAATGGTGCTCGTTTGCAGCCCAATGGTATGAGGAGTGTGCGAACGAGCGATCCGGACGTTCGTTGTTAGCGGCCAGTGCAGTTGTGGCAGAGACGGACAGATTGACAGACGGACAGACCGACCGGAGAGAAAGAAGGGCAGGTGCCAGGTTCGACAGATTGAAAGAATGATAAGCGAGCGTGCCCATGGCCCGTGCTTCTGCTTCCTTTATGTGTAGGGGTGGTGTTCCGATTTATAATCGGTGAGTGCATTTTTAGGCGAGGGTGTATCTCTGTCGTCTCGGCTGGATTGGTGGCCGCCAGCTCGAGAGGTCTATTCTGAGCGCTCGGCCATTTGGAGGGTCAGTGTCGACCGCATTCACCAGCAAAGGAACGTCCGGGCCCGAAGAGCTGGCCGAAAGAAATCGGGACGAGAAAACCTTTTGTTCGGGAGTGGGATCAAGCTCGTGCAGCTGCGGGGCCGCGCAGGCCAGAGGGAAGCAGGCAAGAACGAAGGGACGATTCTTGGATTGTAGACAGTATTTTATGCTTGTGGAAAGCGGTGAGCTGCGGCAGGAGGGACGTGTGCTGTGCACGGGAAGCGAGTCGGTGCACGAGGCGATCGAACTGCCGGACTGAGGCTCGTTGTGGGGATTGGGGAGAATGAACCAGGGCAGTCGCGGCAGCAGGGAGTAGAGATTGCTATGTAGAGTGGTGAACAATGACTATTGACGGAGAGGATCGGAATGGTGCGGACAACGACTTGCCCAAGCTTTCTAGCATTTCGACCAAGGGCCTGTTTTCCAGCTTGCGAGAGAAGAGTGGTGATGTGCTCAGTACACCGGAAGGTTCGTCGAAGGGCAAATCCAGTGGCTTTTTTTCATCGCCCAAGAATAATTGTAAATCTCCTGTGCCAACCTCGCCTGCCGTGTTGAGCCTGAATGTCCATCCTTTAAAAAACAACCTCACGAAGCTTCTCACTCCATCCCGTACCTTTTCTAGGCTCAGAGATGAAAGGGATGAGGTATCTAGACTGACCCCGACTCCTTGCACTAGCTCCTGTTTCAAAGACAGGATCAAACTCCCTCTAGTTGGCGAGGTTAGGTTTGACCACGTTGCTGCGGCCTGCAAGACATGGCTGAAAAATCCCAAGAATCTGGCCCTTCTTTTCTGGGGATTGGCGGTTGGGGTCTCGGGAGCTCTTCTGTTCATGGTAATGGTAGGGATGCTGGATGCAGCAATCCCCAGCAGAAGTGAACGAGACACTTTGTTCGAAGTTAGCAACCAAATTTTGAATGCCCTTTTCACTTTAATGTGTGTTTACCTCCATCCGCAGCGGTGCTTTCACCTGCACATGTTAATCAGGTGGAAGCCCGCGGACATTTTGAAGCTCCGAGAAGTTTATTGCAAGAACGGGACCAGGAAACCGCACGAGTGGGCTCACATGTGCGTGGTCGTGTCACTGCTGCAACTCAATTGCTGGGCGCAGTACGCTCTATGCGGACTCAATTGGGGTTACCGCAGGCCCGACCGACCGGCTATTGGGGTCGGCCTCTGCCTCTGCTTATCGATGGGTGGTGCAGCAGGAGCAGGCATTTACAATATTCTGTCGCCCTTGGGCAAGGATTTCGAGGTGGAGTCCGATGGCAGTGCGGAAGACGTGGAGAAGGGAAGCCTGGATAGCCACCACAGGCAGTACCAGGCACGCGCCAAGATTTACAGGATGCTGGAGAGGAGAGTATCGTTTGCGGACAGAGAAGAAGGGTCGATGGTGGCAAACCCCGAGTGGAGGGGAGGGGTGTTTGATTGCGCTCAAGATAAACCCATAGCGATGCTCTCCACCGTCTGTTGCCCGTGCGTGTTCGGTTGGAATATGGACAGGCTAGGTTTCGGCAATCGATATGTGCACATTGTGACCTTCGTCCTCCTGTGCACCGCCCCTTTCTGGATTTTCGATTTGGCAGCGATCAACATCCAGAACAGGGTCGTTCGTCACAGCATAGGAGCTGCGGGCATAGTTTTGTGCGCCTTCGGTCTGCTCTATGGTGGGTTCTGGCGGATCAGAATGAGGGAGAGATTCAAATTACCCGGCAACTCCTGCTGCTGTGGCCACTACAATGTTGCAGACTGCGCGCAATGGATGTTCTGCCCTCTGTGTTCCCTCTGCCAGGAGGTTCGCACGGCAGAGTACTACGAGGTTCGGGATGACAAGTTTTACTCTCGTGGGTACAGAGAAGCTGCATCACCTTTGCCCACTTCCCCTCCGAACGAGGACTCTCTTTCGTTCAACACACCGGCCACCACCATTCCCGCTGTGAAGGAGATGCCGCCCACCGGAGCCAAAACGGATGGAACGGAAATCGAGCTTATTTCTTCGACGAATCCGTTTGCGCAGACCGGAGAGATCAGCAATGGCCATTCGCCAATATCCACCAACCCTTTCTTGACTCCGGAAGTTCTCGCAGCCTTCAATCCTCTGGCGCCACCCACGTCTGTCACTGCCTCCAGGGAATCCTCACATTCAGGTCACGGCTCTGCGCATGCGGGCAATGGACTTGACGGTTCGATCACGTCTAGAGGAGAGGCGGTTCACGAGCGTCTGGATTTTGGAGCGAGGTCGAACGAGTCGTCTGTTCATCTAGAACGAAATTCCTCCAACGAAAGCTCATCGCACAAACACCAGTCTGTCACCTCGAGAACCCCTCCCCTGCATGCAGAGGATGCTCCTTCTTTCGATTCACCGACAGTAACGAACGACATGTTTCAGCACACAGAAGAGGGCGCATATGACTGCCCAGAGATCACTTCCAAGCTGAAAACATCGTTCCTGCCTGCAGACGAGGGTTATCACCATGAAAGTCCGAGGATTGTCAGCACCGTGGGTGATGACGATCTCAAGCATCTGTCTCCGAGTAATCCTTTTTTGGAGCGCAAGGTGATCCCCAATGGGAACTCTTCATTATCATCCTCCCAATTGCCAGCAGATGAAATCCACCGAGGTAGCCCAGGGTTTGTCAACGTGGATGATAATGAATTGAAAAACTTGTCTCCAAATAATCCTTTCCTGGAGCCGAAGTTGGTCGTCAACGGCAAGTCGCCTTTGTCCATGAAGCCTGAGCTGATAAGCGTCGGCCCCTATGCACAGACTGACGAGGCTTATCAAGGCAGTATAAACGTGGCTGCTGTGCATAGTAGTGGAATGATGCATATTTCTCCAAGTAATCCGTTTCTGGATCCAAAGATAATCCCTCCTGGGAACTCGCCCCTATCTTCTAGTGGAGAGCGTTTGATGTCGCCTGCGGCATCGTCGGCTGATGAGGAGTACAGCAGCAGCGCGATGTCCAGCGGGAAGATTTCATGAGATGGAGACACGCTCGTCCTCGTCTCGTTGAGGTAGTTAAATTTGTTGAAAACATGTGTGTCCTGATGACGCAACTGCCGTTTTGTTGGTTTAGATGCTGATCGTGAGGGAGGCTTAGCGTCATGGAGGAACTATAGAGTCTGAAGTTCGGATGGGGATCTGTCGGATAGATCAGTTCATCCAGGTGCACTGAGGCGTAGCAGGGAAGCTGGGAGGCTTCTGGGAGAATAATTTTGTTGACAACTTGCTCGGAAGGAGGCCATTGTATGTAGCGGTTCATCTGGTTCTGCGGTCATCTGGTCTAACAGAACACGTCCGAATAAGGCGAACAGCTGCGGTTTTGAACAAAGAATTGATTGTCACACATACACCCCGGACTTAGTTTTTGCATTTCGTCGAGGCCTGGATCACGAATCGACCTTTGAGGTCTCAGTAGCCTGTATATTAAAACCTAGCGGATCATTGTGCCTGTATATCAATTAAAACACCCGAGAGTCTTCCTTTAGAACTTAATACATCCAGAAGAAAAGTCGAGCCCGAGGAACTCGACATGCAATCAGCTGTAATTCATTTGTATTATGGAAAATTATCACTCCTGTCGCGGATTTGGCTCCTGTACATTGTTTTTCAGCGTCCACTGGTTTCATGTCAGTTCTTACAACGCTCTCATCACTGGTGATTATCTTATGCACTGGTCACATGGATTTCTTATTCTTAGATCTTTTAACTGTGTCCAACAGTTTGAAGTAAGAGGATCCATGAGTCTCTCTTTCGTGCATCATTTCTGCCCAGCCTACCCAGTCTGATGCTGTTAAGGTTTCAGTTGATATTGTGGACATTGAAATGCCTCCTTATACTTGTTGGTCATTCAGATCTACTCGGGTAATTTGCATGTTTTTTCAATATACATATAATGTTCCAGCAATCCTCACCGTTTGTCAATAGCCAATGTTGTACACTGTGCTTTTGTGAGGGATATATTTGATACGAAGAGGTAAAAATTATAATCTAAAATGCCAAACATGTTGAAATATGATGGGCAGAGGGTTTTGTTTTCATTACTTTCGGAGCAGTGTTCCAGGGCGAATTGAGAGTGGAGAAATTACAATCTCACGAACGTCATGTGGCCTACGTGTTGTCTTCATGACAGATTGTGCTTTTCAATTCCTGAATCACCTTCACACGTTCAGTGCTTTCCAATACAATGTGTGAAGATGATTCAGGAACCAGGCCACAGCCCACGAGAGGATTGCACACCTGTAGGATATTCTAAGCTGGAACCCGGTGTACCTGAACTTCATAAAGTCCCGTCTTCGAAGGTAATGGAACGTCCTGATGTTGAAGAAATATTGAGCTTCGTAGCTTTGCTGACAATAAAAGTAATGAAGTTTCCCTATGAGTTTTCGTGAAGACCAGAGTCATCAATCATTATCGACGTGTACGAAGCACTTTTGGGAACACTCACGGGCTTAAAGACCGAATATTGAGATCAAAGAAAATGCACATGACAAAGAATTTGAGATTCTGCTTCCTTCATTGATAACTGCAACCTGGTCTAGAAGTTGTCCTAATGAGATCTGGTGTAGTCAGAAGACGGCCTCCTAATGCGAGTCATGACACCTCACAAGGATACACATATTCATTCGGCATCTGAGTCTGAACAGGTTTGACACTTTTTGATTTCGAATCAGGAACGAACATTACAGTAGTGGTTTCTTTTATAAACATCAGAAGATCTCAATCGAGTTGGAGTTGTTTAGTGGGTCTAAGATATAAGTTTTCATCCATTCAAAGAATATTTATTCAATTACAAGTCAGTTAAAATAAAACATTACATTATTAGATTTAATGTCAATTCAGTATGTAATTTTTTAACCTTAAAATCTCTTAAGTAAAAGTTTCGAAATTTCATTCGTGAACATGTTTCTCTAAAATGTTGCTGAACTGATATCTCAACATAATATCAGAATGCATAGATACACAAGACTAACCTATAAGCAAGAATTATACATGTTATTTCATTTATATGTATCAGATATCAAAATGATCATAATATTCTCTTAATAATCTATGTCAATATTCATGGTTTGAATTGGCCAAAAATTTCTCATTCGATTTTTTTTTTTTAAATTCAGATGTCATGACATATAATTGTATTTTATAAGCAGATAAAAAGATAATCTAATTTCTTTATGCATGTAATATAAGAAAATTAATAGTAGTATTAGTACGTATTGTCAAATAGGATGTATCTAAAGTTTTGATCGTATCATTTTTAAAAATATAATTTGAAAAAACTATGAAAACTTTTCTTTTTATGAAGATCACATCAAATATTAAATAAAAATATGAAGCACATATTAAAATATATTTTATTCGAAATTTTTGATTTTATTGATATTTTATACTCTCTGGTTCATCAATATCGTTTTAAGAAACCGAAAAATATAGGTCAGTAATTAATGACAAGTAGAAATCACTTGTTCAAATAGATGTTCAGATATCATATCATAAATTTGCTAAAAGATTGATACAGATATATCTTTCAATTTGAGTATTCCCTTACATTTACTAAATTGTAATCTTTACTCTTAGTACTTTATTCTTAGTTGTAGTCATAATTTTACTGTTCATTCGTGTGATAAATATTCATTATTATGGTTGTTTATACTCAGTAGATAGAAATTGATTTGACAAGAAAGATTGATTTTTCAAGTTTGTGAAATTGACAGAAATATATGTTCTTATTTACTCTTGTACTCTCAAAATCGAATGTTTTTGACATTCAGCATGTAAAAATCTGTATATTATAAAATTTATAAGCTTTTGATAAAAATTGAATATCACAATCTTCTGAATTGGAAAACAGCAGATTCTGAACAAAAGGTATTGACAGGAGCTAAGCAATTTTTGCCTTGAAACTTTCAATTCATGCTTGTATTTTGTATCAAAAAATATATGCATGTATCAAAAAATTGTGTCCATATAATTTATAGATTTAAATAAAAACATAGGAATTTCTATTTTTTAACATTTTTTAAGGTACTAATAAAACAGTGAATTCAAGCATTTATAATCTGAGCAGTCACCATGTATTTTTTATTATAATTATGTGATTGAGGACTAAAAATTAATGTAAGTAGTACCATTTTACTTAAGATAATGAATATTGTAAGAATTTTCAATTACAAAAATCTAAATGATGGATGTTAAATTTTGAAAGAACATGATCAATGTTCCAATCAAATTGTTATAAATACATTACTCAGTTATTCGAAGTTTTTGAAATATTGTGAAAAAACAGTATTGACTTTGATTTAACAAAAGACACCAAGTATATATATATATATATATACTTTTATAAATTGTGTATTATTATCACTTCCTGTTCTAGAAAGCATGAAGAATATTATTTTTTTTTGTTAAATAATTTGGATCCATTAGTTGGAGAGAATATATGGACCCTTCTTCTTTAATGCAGACAAGTATTGACCTTATTATTAATGCCAGTAAAGCATCTCAAATTTTCACGGATCGATGCTTTGGTATAACTTGGAGAATGTTTTGGAAGTATCCGTTACAACAGGCATCCACGTCAAGTATAGTTGTATATTCCGATTGGGCTCCTTGATATCGATGCGATTTGAGGCTCCTGATATCAGAAGTTACACCCATAAGTCGGCGGATATGCTTTGAACATATTCTTACAGAGGTATAGTTATTACTTACTGGGAACCTCGTGATCACGAGACCACTTACTCATATCCCTGAGGTTATAAATGCCCAAACCGCAAAGAGGCAGCGGGAAACTTGGTGGCCGGTCCAGGAAATTCCAATGCAAGTTGTCATAAAGAGCGACGAGGAAGTAAACATTCTAAATATCTCCGTAACTACCATTCTTACGCGGTTGCACCTAGATCCTTTTCCAGGTTGCAATATGATCAGGTCCAGTTCAGCCGCCTTCACACAGGATGAGCATCAAAAGAAAGCTTTTCTACTAAGAAGGTACTGTATGAGTAAATTTCATCGTCATCACTGATAGGAGGATATATTAACTCTTAGCTTGCTGGTAATAGGTGCAATAATTCGAGTGTCCAGGTTCAGGGCCGTGGAGCGGCGTCCTTCTTCGGAACTTGTTTGACAGTCTGAACTACTGTAATGAGCAAGTTGTTGAGTACAAAGTATACGACGTTCCCGGACGAGGGTGTTTAGTTGCGTGTTCAGCGATACGATACACTCGCAGTTATGTGGCACGGGCCAAGCAGTGATTTGCCGTGGAAACAAGCGTCCAAGTGCACGTAGCACTGGATTGACCGGAAGCCACTGGCTTTCATCTTTGTACGGGTTGATGGGTCTTGCCATCCTCATTCGGCATCGACTTTCATTTCTCTGATCAATGGAATCGCATTATTAGATCAATGTGACTGCTTTTCGGCATCGACTTTCATTTCTCTGATCAATGGAATCGCATTATTAGATCAATGTGACTGCTTTTCGGCGGAGGAGTGCAATGAAAGAAAGCAGCTGAAGTAAGAACCTTCTGGCTGCCGTGCTTTTCCTCCGAGCGCTTTATTCACACACCCAGAACAGATCTCAGAGCACTTCGCAAATTGCACATTCATGAGCCATCAGCGCGCATTCACTTTGCTTGTGACTTCCACGTCGAAGTACCACTTCGACGTGGAAGTCTCTGAAGGCTGAACGAGGATGTAATAAACTGGCACCACAAGAATTGCCTTGTTGCTTGAGACGCTGAGTTCACACGAAACCAATGAACTCAAGTCAAGGATGGGAAGACCCCACCAAGGATTATAAGTATGAAACTAAAATGGTAACATGGGATAGGCCCAATACCAATACCATCATACCTTAAAAATATTATTTTAGATCTAAATCATCTAAAGTATGCAAGCAAATTATTTCAAGACGAATGCAAAGTATATCACATAGCAGGAATGATAATTTATAGATTGTATCAAAAAAGATATGATCCGCAGTTGGATTTATTTCTCTTTGTACTCTATAGAGTACTTGCATACTAAAATACAAAGTGGTGTTGATAGCAATTTGCAACCAGTCTTCATTGACAAACAAAGATGGATACACTCATCAATTATCTCCGAGTCTCCTGAATACTTTCAACAAGCCAGGCCTCCACAAAATTGTGAATCGATTGTCCCTAGGAAAAAATTACATTTCCTCATTTTTCACAATAATGGCACTTTCTTAATGGTATACATCAAACATACTTATGCAATATAAAGTTTCAATTTCTGTAATTTTTCATTTGATCGTAAAGGCTCCAAATGAATATAAGAAAAGGTACATGTTATTTATAGATTAGATATGTGAAATCCTAAAAGATTTTATTTTACATGCCATTTCTAGATGTCTCTCTCAATGATAAATGTGCTATCCATTACTTGAGTCATCACATCCTTGGTATATCAATATGTAGTTTTGTGAACATGGTAAACATTGTTAGAAGTTAACTCATGTTGGTGCTAAGAATGAACCCAAATCTTGATTAATTTTAGTTAGTTTTACCATGATTAGCTTGTCATTATGTAAGAGAGCTTATTGTAGAATACACAATTTGAAACACAATTAATGT